CTCTTCATTATTTAATATTATCCCCTTTAATAATTTTAATCTATAATCCCATGATTGATATTTTGGATCAACATAAGAATCATAAACCTGAGGCCACATATAAGATTGATTCAACATGTTAAAACTCATGATTTTAAACTTATGAGACGATGGGAAATGATTTTTAGTTGGTAGATTTATCCATTTTCTATGTTTTAAAGGATTAAAAGATAATGCGTTTATCCCAGTGGGGATAGATTTGAGCAATGACTTCATATGGAGCAGGGAGTAATCAACCAATAGCCAGCAACAAGCACCCGAATAACCTGAACTTAAACCTCACCAAACTCTTCAGCAAACCCTTCAACAAACCTTCTGCAAAAGTTCCTAAAATCCCAGTGGAAACCGTTTCCTTATATAAATTTTCTTTATTTACAAAATGATCTTAAAAGCGAACGGCTGAAAACCCGATATACACACTTTCCGCGAATTTGAGATTTTAAACACCGAATAAAGAAATAATACTCGAAGAAACAAAAAACTACAAATCTTTTAAATTCAGATATATATTTGTATCAAACGAATGAGAAATCAAAGGAAACCAAAGGAAATCAAATGGACAGCTAGAAATACACAGGATACACACATGGACAGAGAAACAACAACAACAAAGGGAATCCAATTTCAATGAATATGTTATGTGCATCACAGGGAAAGGGAAAAAACCAAGAAAATTAGAAATTGAAAAACAAAAGATCACCAATCACCAATCAAAACGTGTAAGAAGTTGATACATCCTATGTCTTTCTTGATGGTCTAAAATCAGCTTTGAAATTTGAAGGTTTTTCTTTAGCAACATGAGGTTTTAATTCAAATTTAGCTAATAAAGGAATATGATCAGATGGTAAATGAGCATTTGGGAATCCAATATAATGTTCAACATATTCTTTATCAATCGCACCTAATAATCCACAAACTGATAATGTATTTGGTGTATACCAAATATAATCTAAAACATCAACAAAACTTGGTGTATAATTTGTAAATGGTAATTCTTCATCACCAAGATTTTTATAAGCAGATTTTAAATTAAATGGATGTTTAAACCCATCTTCTGTAAATTTACCATAATCTCTACCTTCAACATCTTTATGTTCTTTAACAAAACCTGTGGAAAATAATTGATAAACAGCTGAATGTAATTGAGAATTAAAATCACCACAAATAAACATTGGGAAATCTTTTAATGATTCATTATTACCAATATATTTCTTAACAAAACTTTCAATTTCTTCTAATAACACACCTGTTTGAACAGTTTTAACATCATTTAATTCAGGATCCCAATGTAAATGAGTATTTGCAGCTAAAACAAATTGTCCAGAATGTTTATGTTTTAAAATTGATAAAATTGCAATATTATCTCTATTTTGTAATCTATTGAAAACATCATTTGATTTTTTATATTTATTTAATCCCATAACAATTGTAGTGAAATCAATTTCTTTATATTCAATTAATTCAAAAACATCATTTTTCCAAAAAATTGCACAACCATCAACTTTTTTAGCTGCAGTTGGATTCAGTCTTTTATATCTTAATTTTGCATGATATTTACTTGAATAACCTAATTTTGACATATAATTTTCCCAATAATTTTCATATGATGAAAATTCAACTTCTTGTAAACAAATAACATCAGAATTAAATTCTTCCAATTGTTTAGTAATTAATTCTTTTCTATAATCCCAATTTAATGCCCATGATGGTGCATAACTAAATAATTTTGCAGTAGCATAATGATGACATAATAAATTAAAAGATAATGCAGTAAATGAATTTAAATCTTTATTTGAAGAAATTTCTTCATCAACTTTATTATTATCTTCTTGATTATTTTCATCTTCAATTTCTGTTAATCTTTCACCATCTTCTTTTAATGTAACCCAAGGTCTTTTTGGTAATGAATCTAATTCAGGTGCATTATCTCTTAAATGAATAATTAAAGATCTTGTACCCTTTTGAGCTAAAATTTTAGTAAATTCTGGATTAAAATTAACATTTCCTTCGATACCTAAGAAATGTAATTCAAATAAATTACCAAATTCATATGGTAAAGTTTCAATATTATTATCAAAAAGATAAAGATATTTCAAATTATATAATAAACCAATTTCAAATGGTAAATTTGATAATTGATTATGAGATAAATCTAAAATTTTTAAATTTTTTAAATTTTTAATTGTTTTAGGAATTTTGGTTAATTTATTACCATTAAGATATAATTTTGTTAAAAATTTATAATCAAAAATTTTTGGTGATAAATTTGGAATTGATTGACCACTTAAATCTAATGAAGCCCATAATTGAGGAGCTTTATTTGATTTTTTATTTGCACGTTGTTGTTCAGCATAAACTTCATCATCATCATCATCATCATTATTGTTATTGTTATTATTATTTACATTATCATCATTAGGGTAAATAGAATGAGAAACTTTTCTATTTTGTAAAAGTGCAGAATTATTTGGATCAATATTTGCAGAACTTGAAGTTTGTTCACCATTATTCGTTAATAATTGTTTTGTTAAATCAACTAAATTTAAAGATTTATTTGATTGTTGATTTGTTGATCCATTATTTGAAGAATTTGATTGATTATTTGATTCATTATTTAATTTTAATTTTCTTGATTGATATGCAGCTAATCTCGCATAATAATGTGAAGAATTTGATCTTCTTGATAAATCAACCAATTGTAATTGATCTTTCCAAAAAGGTGATGATGCAAGGGAAGGGTCTAAATCAATAGAATGTAATTGGTTTTGTTGTTGTTGTTGAAATTGATGATGAGCTTGTTGAACTTGTTGTTGTTGAACTTGTTGAGCTTGTTGTTGTTGTTGTAATTGAGCTTGAACAGCTTGAGCCTGGGCTTGAGCTTGAGCTTGGGCCTGGGCTTGTTGCTGTTGTTGTTGTTGATGCAATTGGGGTTGTATTTGACCTTGTACCTGACCTTGTACCTGACCTTGTTGTAATTGAGGTTGACCAAAAGATGAAATACCAGGTTGTAATGAAGATTGTTGTTGATTTGAAACTTGTTGTTGAGGTAAATTCAAAGACCTTTGTTGTTGTTGAGGAGTAGGGACTTTATATTGACCTTGAAATAAAGTTTGTGCTAATAATTGAGATGGATTTAAATTATTACCATTAATCAAATTACCATTGGCAGCACCAGCACTATTAACACCGGCACCACCACCAACACCACCAGCACTAGAAACTTGCTGCTGTTGTTGCTGTTGTTGTTGTTGTTGCTGCTGTTGAGCAGTATTCATACCATGGAACAGATCATTGAATTGTAAAGGAGTGACTTTCTGTTGTTGTGGCACTTGTTGCTGTTGCAAATATTGGGCCTGATTTGGCTGTAGTGGCTGGGCCTGATAATTCTGTATATTCATGAATCAGTTCACTTCTCCAGCAGTTGTAGATGTTGTTCTCTCTCTCTTCAGTTTCAGCGCCTTCAAAAAGATATATTTAAAAAGAACCAGTGATGGAATTGAATGGGTTGTTGTAATACTTTTGTTATTTGAACTGCTTTGATTGTTGAATTAATTTGTTGATGTTTTCAAATAATTCGCGAAATAATTGAATTCGCGAAAAGGTCAATAATTACCCGGATTGTTTTCAATATCACCATACAATTACATAATAACTTCTTATAATTCCATGATTTAATTGATTATAATATATAAATTAATTATTCTATTTATTATTCTATTATCATTTTCACCAATTTATTATGTAAATATTGCTTATCCCGCTTAGTGTTACTTAACTCAGCTAATATTACATAAGCACACACCCATTGATTACATAACCACTCGTATCTATCTCGTCGTAAATTACCCTCCCCGTCGTTTCTTTCACCCCCAGCTGTCAAATTGAAAACAAAATCTCAAAATTTATCAGTTGATGAGAATCAAAATAATCTGACAAAACATCAACAAAACAACAAAACAAAGGTTACAAAAGGTTTCATTTGTTATCACAGCTATATTTCACCAATGCCACTGCTGCCTAAACTCTCAGCAACGCTCTCTTCAAACTCCGTGCTTTCCCCTTCAAACTCCCATCATAAACCTGCTCTATCTCATCATAGTTCAAATGCATCTGTTCAAACAAATAACAACATTGATAAACATGTTCAACATCCATTAAACTTGGCAATTGACTTGGAATCACCTCCAAATATTCTGTATGGTCCACCAAATGAATCTTCAGGTTGTTTAATCTCTGGTCAATTACATATTGAAATCCCTAAAGATGCATTCCAATCTCCTTCTTCAAATCAATTAACTCATCCTCCGTCAATTGCATCTCCAAGACCTTCAAATAAGAGAACTCATTCACAAAATGCATTACATAACACGTTGGCAAATACTTTACAAAATTTAAGTCTTAGTCCTTCTCATTCAAGAGATATCTCACCAGTTCATTCAAATAATAATTCTTATACAAATTTAGCTGGTTTAATGAATATAAAAGATCATGTATTGGTTAATATGGTTCAATTATCTCTTGTTCAAAAAATCACTTATGCAAAACCTTTTTTACCACCTTCAAATACTTTAGCAAACTGTTCAAATTGTAAAAAAAAAACTGTGGAATTAGCAAGATGGGATATTTTAAGTCATGCAAATAATTTACCTATTGGGAAACATTCTTATCCATTTTCTCATTTATTACCAGGTGAATTACCTGCTACTACTTCCCTTGGATCAAGTTCTTTAACTTCAATTAAATATGAATTAGTTGCAATTTGTTCATATAATAATCATTCAAATCATCAACAAGTTACAAAAGTTATATTACCTTTAAATATTTCAAGATCTATTCTTAGAGGTCCAGATAGAAATTCCCTAAGAGTTTTCCCACCAACAGATGTTACTGCAACTGCTGTATTACCAAATGTTATATATCCAAAATCTTCATTTGCCTTGGAATTAAAATTAGATGGTGTTTCAGTTAATGATAGAAGATGGAGAATGAGAAGAGTTGGTTGGAGAATCGAGGAAAATATTAAAGTAAAGGCAAATTCATGTCAAAATCATAAAACTAAATTAAAAGTTGTTGAAGAACATATAAGGAAAAATCAATTACAACATAAACCTCCACCAATTAAAAGAAATCAAACTTCAGGTCCAACTACTTCTATTTCAGTTTCAAATACTCCTCAATTATCTCCAGATATAACTCCATCTCAATCAGCAACAAATTTACAGCAACAAGCTCAACAACAAGCTGCTCAACAAGCTACCCAAAACACTTCATCTGATACAACTGAAGCAATTGCAAGATCAAATTCAAATGATGATTTAGCAAGTATACATACAACAAATCCAAATTTACATCCATCAGATCATGCAAATGAAGAACTTAGACAACAACAACAAACAAATCAGCAACAACAACAACAGAAGAAAGAAGAATTTGCTTTATATTCAGAAGAAACAAGAACTGTTTCAAGTGGTGATCTAAGAAATGGTTGGAAAAGTGATTTTTCAGGTAAAGGTAAAATTGAATTAATTGCAGATATTTCATGTTTTAATTTAACAAGTGCATCAGGACCTCATCATACTCATGCTTCAACAAGAGAACCAATCGATACAACTCATCCTCATCATCATGCAAATGTTAGTTGTGATATTGATGATCCAGTATTAGGTATAAATGTTACACATGTATTAATTGTGGAAGTTGTTGTTGCAGAGGAATTATTACAACCTTCTTCATCATCATCATCAATAGGAAATAATTTAAATACTTCAATAAGTAATTCAAATGATAAATCAAATAAACCTGATCAAAGATTAGCTGAATTATCACCAATGTTTGCAAATCATAATAAAGTACACCCATCAACTTCAAATTCTCCATTATCACCATCAAATTCAAGAAATAGTAATAATGCAAGTGGTTCTACAAATGGTTCTACAAATTCTTCATCACAAATCGGTGTTCCAACAGGTGCAGCAAGAGTTTTAAGAATGCAATTTAAAATCATCATTACAGAAAGATCAGGATTAGGTATAGCATGGGATGATGAAGTTCCACCAACTTATGATGATGTTTCAACATTATCACCACCAACTTATGATCGTGCCACGATTGATGATAATTTATTAACTTCTCCATCATTAGGCGGTATAGGAATTGGAGTTGATCAATCTCAACAACCTCCACTTTATCCATTAAATTTAGCACCTGCTCATACTCATACTCATATTAATGGTGTTCAAACTCCTGGTGTTATTAATGGGATTGGGAATACTCCTGTTGTTACTCCAAGACCGAGTGCTCAATATAATTCGATTAATGGTGCTTTAGAATTAGATGAATTTACATTGAATTAGTATAAAATTATAGAGAATAGAAGGTGAGATGATTTATGAAGATTTCTTATTCTGTTTAATTTCTGGACAATATCATATCGTTATTTTTTTCTTCAATATTTAAGTTAGGTTTAAATTATGAGTTTATGAATTATAAATATACAAGTTATCCACAGTATTTGAAGTACTATTTAATATGATTGAGAAGTAGACTAAAGCTAAACAGGTTTGAAGTTTGAAGATTTAACTTCTATTAATCATAGGATTTCGGAGTTCCATTTTGAACAATCAATTGGTTATTCAAAGACCAGTCATCATCAGTTCTTTGAAACAAGCGACATCAAGAGATCATTATAATCAAAACCAACCACAAAGGACTAGTACTATACTCATTGAGAAGAAAATGATCCAAATAGTGCACATTATGGAAATAAAGGAAGTATTTTTAGTTTTTTTGAGACTTTGAATGAGAGTGATAAAAAGAGTGCTTTTACAACAATTAAGAATACATAGGCATCATGAAATTCACTCAAAATAACAATTGGAAATAGGCAAGATTATGAAACTCTACATATACTTTATAAATTCTCAGAACTATGAATGAATTGTTTTTTCACCTGGCTTAAAAGCTAAATTGAGCTAACTTGAATATCAACTAATCTTTAAATAATGATTTGAAATCTAGTATGGGAATATCAACGTACAGATGATCGTCATGTTACTCTTCTGGAATTCTTGAAAGTTAACGTCTACAGAAGATACATATTTTTACCAGTTTGGAGAATCAAAAGTTATTTTATATACCCTATTATCTTTCAACTGGGAAAGTTTAAAGGTTTATTTTCAAATTTATTCCCACCAAGGCTGATCAAGAATGCTCCTAAAGACAATTTAGAGGGTCTTAAACATGATTACAAGCTGAAGGTCGGATTCACTGATTTACCACCTGAAATATGGAGAATAATCATTGGCAAAACGGATAGAAAGGATTATCATAATTTGATGATTACAGATAAGAGATTCCTTGACTTAGTTGCACCTTTGATCTATAAAGACATATTCATCAATACATCAATCACCAAAACCACCAAAATGAAGAATAGTGATGATACATATCCTAGATACGGCCCTGATTTGCCAAATATTTGTAAAGGAAACCACTATGATATTTTCAAAAGATCCAAAGAAAGTTCATCATTTGAATATGAAATTGTTGGTACTAAAATTGATCAGAAATCATTCAATGAGATGTTTGATGTTTTGTTTTATCAAGAACCTAACGAAACACATTCAGAATATGTTGATAACTATTCTCCAGTGATCATCAATCAGTATGAGAAAATTATATTCATAATTAAGAATATTATGTTGAATCCAAATTCAGTAATGAAAAAACATATCAAGAATTTTTTCATTGATATATCAATTTTTGATGGATTTTTAGAGTTAATTTTAAAACCTGAAGCACCATTCATCAAGAAAATAAAATCATTTGATAATGATACCAAAAAGTCCTGTCATTTATCAGCTTCCACATTCGAAGAACTTTGGGTATACCCTCTATGGGATGTTTTTTCAAGGTGTAAATGGACATATCCTACTAGATTTCATTCCAATATATTATCATATCATGATGAAATGATTCAAAAATTTCCACAACAAGTTTATTATAAAGAATTTGCTGTTCAAGGCATCCTTAATTATTTTTATGGTACTAATTATGAACGAAGAAGATCTTTATTGAATGTTTCCAAATGTGATGAATTAACTTCATTAAATCCATTCCGTCTTTGAAATACAAAGTTAAATGAAGAATGTCAGTATAATCAACATATTAACGATCAAAATACGGAAGAAATGTTCAAAACATCAGTGGCTAATTGTGCCCAAATGACTGTTAGTATAGAAGATCGATACTTCCAAACAAAAGAAGAAATACATAGTTTAATTACAGATTTGGTGTCCATAGTTACTTCGATAAATGATTGTGATGGGATTAATCGTTCACTTGCAATAAATGGGATAACAGATTACAACTATGAATCTCTCGGTATACTAGCACCAGGAGAAATTTGGGATGATAAACAATTATTCAGGCCATTTTATATTTTGTTGAATAAACCTAGCGATAGGTAAGTTATAGATAAGTGGATTTGATTACATATATACAAAAATCTTAATTATTAAATATACTTCATTATTTCATTTATTTTCAAGATGTGTATGTTTCTTTTATTTAATCCCCTTCTTCTTCTTTTTCTTTTCCTTCTTTCATTCTAATTTAATAATAATAAGTGTTTATAAATCATTTTTTTTTTCTATACAAAATTGATTATTATAATTATGCAATTCTCCATGATGATAACCAATTCAAATATCTATATTGTTCTGGATCACCATCCATACCGAATGAAATTGGACTGAAATGCCAGAAAATACCAATAATTAAAACATATAATGAAGAATAAATGATAAATTTAATTGGTGTTCTTGAACTAGCAAATCCTAATTCAATTAAATAAGTGAAAATCAACATGGCGAAATATAAAGCTGGTAAATAATGATGAACATAAGTAACACGAGCCATAATAATAAATGGAACATAATGTAAACCCCAACCAAACATTGGATAAATACCACCTAATAAAAATAAGTTTAATTTTTTATCATCTTTAAAATCTCTAAATTGTCTTTGCCATCTAATTAAATAATACAAGACTAGTAATGCAAATAAAATAACACCAATTGATGAAGTCCAAGTTGTAGCTGGTGAACCAATTAAGAAATATTTTGGATTACCAGCACCCCAACCACATAATCTAATACCAACATTTAAAGTTGGCCATTGCCAAGCTTCAGAAGCTAAATCATCTTGTTTATCAGGATCTGGAACTAATGCATTATTTGTTGCCATCATTGCTAAATTTAATTGAATAAAATCTTTAAAGAAATTTGTTTTTGGTAATTTAAAATCTGGTTCAGGATCTGGTAAACTTGGATTTGCATGATGTTCAATATTCCACCAAGTTCTTTTATCTCTTGAAAATGGATTTTTAACACATGTAACTTCACCTTGACGGAACCCCCAAGCAGGTAAATGATTACCAGTTTGAGATAAATAACAACCAAGAACTTTATGTTTTAATCTAAAAGAAGTAGTTAAAGGATGAATTCTTAATTTATCTTCACTACCATATTGATGAGCAACTTCAATAATCCAATCATCTTTTTCATCACCTTGATCAAAATCACCATAACCTGCAACTTCATAATCTTGTCTTGAAATTGGAGCTGGAATTTCATGAGAATGTAAATTTCTTGTTGTCAAACGATGCCATAATCTAACAGACATACCATCAACAAGATATTCACGTTGATCACGAGTAGAATTGAATTGTTCTCTTGATCTTTCTCTATGGAAAATCCATTCATTATTAGCATCTTTATGACCATATGTTGTAACTTGTTGTTGATTTGAACCTTCTGGGAATGTTTGAATATGTGAATGTAATAAACCACCACCTAAACCTTGATTTTTAATTGTAACTGTAGAAGTACCAATAGTAACATCTCTTGGACCTAAACCAACATTTGAACCAATTAAATTAGCTTGGAATAATGAAGACATATTAGCATCACCAGGACCTGAACCAGTTAATAATTCAAAATGAATTTTAAATGAAACTAAGAAAACAATAAATGGAATAACAATTAATGCAAAACCTCTTGCAGTCCAATGAGCTAAATATTTTGTTCTACTTAATGAATTATCACCATACATATTCCATAAATCAACAACAGTATAAATACCAACTAATGTAGTAACAAATAAACCAACCATTTTAACTGAACAAGTACAACCAATTGAAATACCAGTTAATAATAACCATTTCCACCATTTTCTGCTGAATGGTTTTGATCTTTCATTATGAAATCTAACAAATGTGAAAATTGTTGAAACAGTGAAAAATAATAACATTGAATCTAATAAAATAAACTTACCTAATGTAACATAAGAAATTTCAAAAATAACCATAATGGTAAATAACCAAACACTTGGAATTGAAAATCCAATTGATTTAGCAGTGAAATAAGCTAATGGAACAACTAAAGCACTAAAAGTAGCATTAAAAATTCTCATTTTAACATAATCAATATAATCTGGATATTGTTGACCAGATGGGAAATCCCAAGAACCATTATAACCAGCAATATAACCACTTAAACCAACAAGCATTTTCCCTAAAGGAGGATGAACATCATGATAAAATTCATGACGTAAATAATAAGAACCAAATTTACCAAAATGAGCTTCATCCCAAACAACATTATTATTAACACCAATACGATACATACGAGTAACAAAACCTAATAAAGTGAAAACAATTGGTGCAACTATGGATTCTAATTGTAATAATGATGATTTTAAATCATCAACTTCTTTAGCTAAGACTTTATTTGGATCATCATCAATAATTTCAATATCATCAACATTTGTAGAAATAGATTCTTCTTGTTGTTGTTGTTTCCCACGATTCAGCTTATGAGCTGACGTGTTGTGAGAGTCGACACCGGTGGAGGAGGACATGGACCACTAGTTTAGCTTAAGAGCAAAAATAAAAAGAGCTGAGCGAAAGAACTGAAGGAACAGGAGGTGGAAACTAGTATTCAATTAACAAAGGTTTTTTTGTTTAAATGTGTTTTGTTTCGATTTCATTGACACGTATTTTTTTTCAAACCTTTCATTTTCGCGTCTCGAATGTTTTTTTTATTTTTATCTTTTTTTTCGCGGACTGAATAAGGTGTTACGTAAGAATTTTGTATATAAACATTTTATAATTTTAGTACATTATTGAGTGTTCCGATGGGATTACAAAGCTGTTGAATGAATGTTGTACGGTTTTGATATGATTATATGAAATAGTTGCTATGTATTTAGGGGTATCACCATTTTAAAGGGTTCAAATACTCTCATTTTCAAGAAAAATACTAGTCTTGAGTGATTATTTTAGATATACAATAATCTTCTCATGGATTTTATTTAATATAAAAAGATGTTAATATATCTTTAAGATCATGATGTCCGTACTGATATGATACAGTATAGAGAAACTCATCAACAATACAATGTCACATATAAACCATTGGAGAAAAAAAAAACATGAACCAAGAATATTTATTGATATTTCAGAAATTGAAGAAGATGAAGAAGAAGAAGAATCAAATAGAGGTCGTTCAAGTTTTTTTGATGATGAAGATTTAGATATTTTTAAAGAAGCTGAGGAAAATATATCATTAGATTATTTTGAATTTGATTTTGATGGTTATATGGAAAATAAAGATTTTGTTGAATATGAAAAATTAGATAAAATTGATCAATTAGAATATATTTTAGATAAATCTCAATATAAACTTAATAAATTGGTAAAAAAGGCAAAAGATATTGAAGATATAGATTTAAGAAAATTATTACTTTTACAAAATCATTCATTTGTAATTGAAGATATGATTGAAGATTGGAGATATAAAAGTATTTTTGATAGACCTGAATTACCACTTATTGGAGATAAAAAGAGGAAAATTGATGAAGATGAAGAAGAAGAAGATGATGATGAAGTGAATGAAAAGGAATCAAAAGAACATATAGTTGGATCTATATATAATGAAAAATATTTAGGACCTAATGGATATGATTTTAAACAAGAAGAAGAAGATCAAAAAGCAGCTAAAGAAAAAGAATTTGATGATGTTGATGATGGTGCGATATCAGATGGTTGGGAAGATATAGAAATTGATGATGAAGAGGAAGAAACAAATGAAGAAGATGTAAATGAGAATAGTAATGAAAATAATAATGAATCAGAATCAGACTCAGGATTAGAAGGGTATTGTTCATTATTTGATGGACTTAATTCAGATACAGAAGCCTCAGATATAGAATCAATAGATAAAAAAAATACTAAATATACTAATTCAAGTTTAGTATTAACAAGTCATGAATTTAGATCTTCATCAAATTATCCATTATTTCCAAATTTAACATCTGAATAAAAAGTATCAGTTTTTGCAAGGAGTGATTTAAACATTGATAATTTTAATAAAATTGATGATTATAAGACTAATGAGCCTAATGAATTGGATGATACTTCTGAAGATAATTGATGACAATATTGAATAAATATAGATTAGAATAGAGTATAATAGATTATGTTAACTATGTATTATATAATCAATACAATCCATATTACCCTCCTTCCGAGCGCCATTGATTTTATATATTCCATAAAATTCAACCATCAAGTAATTACAATTTGTTACAATGTTACGCAAATTACAATGAAAAACTTTGAGTGAGTCGGTTTTTGAAGTGATTCATTCCCATCAGAACCGAATATGAAACTGCTTATCATCTTTGTACTTTATTAACTCTTTAAATCTATTTTTAAGAGTGCGGTCCCGCTTCATCTCAATAACCATATTTGTGCTTCCTTTATTGGACTAATTGTGCTATATACAGAGTCATTTAATTGATTACTGGGTATTAATATAGTTTATAGATCGATAATACTTTTGTTTATTGATTGTTCTGTTTGTGAAGATGGACGTCATGAATACATAGTGTTGTGTTGTTATTACTTTGTAGTATTGTAGTATTGTTGATCTGTTTGTATAGTTCATATTCTATTTGTCTAGTTGTTCATCGATCTTCGCTTATGTTTTATTTTCCATCCGAATCATTTTCATTTCTCCGGTAAGGATCCGATTTCTTCCCTTTGACCAAAATTCAACAATTTAAATTAAAACAAAATCATCAATTCATCAAATTCATTAACACCTCAATTGAAGTACTAGTCTTATATCAACATATAGTCTACATTCAATTGATATGCTCTCTGCTAGATTACTAAACACTTCTAAAAGATCAATCCATACTTCCACTATAAAAATGTCACAATTCAGAACAGAATCTGATGCTTTTGGTGAATTACAAGTACCAAATGATAAATATTGGGGTGCTCAAACTCAAAGATCTTTACAAAATTTTAAAATTGGTGGTGAAAGAGAAAAATTACCTGAACCTCTCATCAAAGCTTTTGGTGTTTTAAAGAAATCAACTGCTATTGTTAATGAAAAATTTGGTACTTTAAAACCTGAATTAGCTCAAGCTATTCAACAAGCTGCTGATGAAGTCGCCAGTGGTAAATTAAAAGATCATTTCCCATTAGTTGTTTTCCAAACTGGTTCTGGTACTCAATCAAATATGAATGCTAATGAAGTTATTTCCAATAGAGCTATTGAAATTCTTGGTGGTAAATTAGGTTCTAAAACACCAGTTCATCCAAATGATCATGTTAATCAATCTCAATCTTCAAATGATACTTTCCCAACTGTTATGCATATTGCAGCTGTTCAAGAAATTACAAATCATTTATTACCAGAATTACAACTTTTACAAAAGGCATTACAATCAAAATCTGATGAATTTAATGATATTATCAAGATTGGTAGAACTCATTTACAAGATGCTACTCCTTTAACTCTTGGTCAAGAATTTAGTGGTTATGTTCAACAAGTTGCTAATGGTATCAAGAGAGTTGAATCAACATTACCAAATTTAAAATTCTTAGCTCAAGGTGGTACCGCGGTTGGTACAGGATTAAACACCAAGATTGGATTCCCAGAAGCTGTTGCAGAAGAAGTTTCTAAAATTACAGGTATTGAATTCCAAACTGCCCCAAATAAATTTGAAGCTCTTGCAGCTCATGATGCAATTGTTGAAGCATCAGGTGCTTTAAACACTTTAGCTGTTTCATTATATAAAATTGCAAATGATATTAGATATTTAGGTTCAGGTCCAAGATGTGGTTATGGAGAATTATCATTACCAGAAAATGAACCAGGTTCATCAATCATGCCAGGTAAAGTTAATCCAACTCAAAATGAAGCGTTAACAATGGTTGCTACTCAAGTGTTTGGTAATCATTCAGCAATTACATTTGCAGGTGCATCAGGTCAATTTGAATTAAATGTTTTCAAACCTGTTATGATTCAAAATTTATTAAGTTCTGTTAGATTATTAGCTGATGGTTCAAATTCATTTAGATTAAATTGTGTTGATGGTATTAAGGCAAATCGTGAAAAAATTGAAAAAACTTTACATGAATCATTAATGCTTGTTACTGCATTAAATCCAAAAATTGGTTATGATATGGCTTCAAAAGTTGCTAAGAATGCTCATAAAAAGGGTTTAACTTTAAAAGAATCTGCTTTAGAATTAAATGCTTTAACTTCTGAAGAATTTGATCAATTTGTTAGACCTGAATTAATGATTGGTCCAAAGAAATAGGAAAGTTATTTCATCCTATAGGTAAATATAAAAAAGTTTAAATGTATAAAGAAATTGATATTCTATATTATATTATTGTATGTCTATAATCTATTATCTATAAGTCTATTTATATTCTGGATTAAACAAATAAATCAATCCATCTTTCCCTCTAATCGCCCAATCAAAACTAACCTCAACAATCCCTTGTAATCCATCAACACCAGTATGATTAACCCATCCATTAAAAGGTAACTTCCTCAATTCATCGAATTGACTTTCCAAAACCCAACTTTTTAAAAATTCCCAAATATATTTAAAAGAACTTAAGATCCCCTTTTGTAAATATTCATCAGGACCATATAAGAACCATGATAATAATTGAGTTGAAATAATCATGGATAATGGGATATAAATTGCTGCAATATAATCATTACCAAGGAAACTACCTCTCTGATTTATTTTAAATTCGAAAGCAATAGCTAAAATACCAGTAAACATTGAATAAGTCATACCGTATAATAAGAAATCTGGGAATGAATGTGGGTATAATTCTGGTAAGTTTGTTATTGAAGTTAATGTGACATTATGAGAACTTGTGTATTCAATTGATGATGATTTGAATATGTTTGGTAATAAAGGACATAGATCACCGGTTCCTTGGAATGATGAAGAAGTGATTGAACCATTGAAACAGAGTTGATGAACATTGTGGGCAGAAACTGAGATGATCAACAGTGGGAGAATGGTAAGCGGTTTGAACATAGTGATGGTTATGGTATGGTCGTATGGTATTGAGTTGATGAGTGATGAGTTCAAATGAATGAAGTTCCAACTTATCGTAATTATAATTATAGTAATTTTTGATAGACGATGATCGATCCCACTCACACCATCTTTGGTGAACGTCGTGAGTTCAGCTTTGAGGCCCCAGAATTGCAGAATAATTACTAGTTATAACTTATGCGCGTACAGCTTGGACCAAAGTCAAAAAAAACTTCGCGAACCAAAACATGCAAAAAAAAAGGCAACCGCCTATTACTTATTACTTATTATACTCAACAAATTAGTTGACTGAAATAAAATCAATAGTTTAAGAACCATATAAAGGCTCCTAATTGAGAAATGAGAGATACATAGGTAGAAATTTCTAGTGAATTTTCACTAAAAATATTCCCGAAAAGTGACTTGGTTCCAACTTCCGAGCACACAAACTTGAAAAAAAAAGTAGTTATACGTCGTCGGTACACAGTGCATACGTCGTACACTAAAACAAGTAGGATGCCTTCAGGCTTCACGCCTTCACTATACAGGGCTGGTACGTCCAGGCTCCACGGTACATGAATTAGGTATGATCTTTTATAGTATATAATATGAGGTTCGATAATGTTTATTTATGGCAATTGACGGCCGGCCTTATAAACAAGATAATATGTAAAACTTTTATAAGCAATATATGTACTCACGTCGAATAATATGGACTTCACGGAAATGTACAGGATACAACTTATGTAAAACTGCCGTAATATCATATATGGTGGATATTCTAGCTAGTATAAATATGATCATATATACAGAAAGTTTATATATATAATATATAATAAATTGCAAGCTCTGATCATTCAATGTATATATTCTAAAGTCTATTAGTACGTCTGACTTACTAAATACATCCTAGCTAAGCTATAATAATGATGTCGCGATTAGCTAGATAATAGCTGTATATATATATATATATATATATTGATATCGGGATTCGGTATAATCATGTCAAATCGTCACGACTCACAACTAGCTAATTATATGCAAGCTCACAAATAACTTCTTAGAAGGAAGTACTAATATAAGTTCTAACGTTCTAACTACGTGCCCGTACTTATAACTAGATGTTGAGAATATTGAATTATTAAACCAACATTTACTATATACTTGCAGCTGATGATTCATAAATGATGAGCTTGCAAAATCAAGCTGTTAAATTTACATGATCCATGGTCCATGGGTATCAAGTCCAGACTCCTGAATGATCCAACTGAACCCTGATTCTTCATTCTTCATGTCATTTGCAAATAAACATTACGAGTCACGAGTCACGAGTTCATATTACCTGAAACTCATTCGATTCTTCATAAACTTTGCAGTTAAATCATGTACTATATGTTATATGTTTGATTAATGCAGTTAAATCCAGTATAAGTCGTGATTAGTCCTGATCATGTTCAGGCTCTTTATACATTTGCAGTAAATATAGAGCGTACTCATAGTACGCTGGTAAGCTTTCATATAAATACAACAGAAAATTACCCAAGTTCTCAATATAATTAAGATGTTTCAAATTTATTCAATTTATCATAGATCACATTTGATATAAGTTGGCCTCACGCTCATTTAGTATTATAAGATATTTTCAAATTGAAAGATCAAGGGGGTTCTTCGGTATGATCATGACTTTTACAGCTTCTAATTATATCGTCAATATGATGATTTTCCTAGTTTTAATGGTCAGTGGTACACTAGCAGCTCAAGTTTCTCATGTTAATGATACCATTTATGCTACAGACTTGGTCCACGTCAATGGTTCTTTAAGTTTAAGAGGTGGTAATGTCAAAAGAGATATTTCAAGTGATACCGACCTTGATGTCGCTTTCAAAAACGTTGCATCATCGGTTGTCCTTAATGAAGAAGCTGCTTTAAACTATGAGAACAGTTTGTCCAACATTGTTAATAATAGTACTTCAATTGATAAGCGTGATGTTGTTAATTGGATTGCAGGTACTTTGACGACCTGGGCTGTTGCAAGTGGAACTGTTGCATATATGGCACAGTATTGTATGAATCAAAGAAGTGGTGATAATTTTTTTAAAAAAAACTGGGCCTGTGTGATGTTGGCACAAGCAATTACTATTGGTGCTACAACCTCATATGCGTACTTAGCTTATCAGGGTACAATTTCGGCAGGTTTTCAATATATTTCAGGTTTGGCAAATTCCAATGGTAGTAAAATAAATAAACGTGAAGCTGAATTTGATATTCCTAATTATGGTTGGTACAATCATTCAAGTTTGGCACATCAAATTGGTGCTCAAGGGCTTTCAATTGATAATATCGAATATGAATATGCGTTTGTTGGAGACGATGGTACACCATTCATTCATAGACCAAAATACAGACTTTCATTAAATTCAAAGCCTTTAGTGGAAATCTCTATGCATAATGGAACCTTATTTTCTCATATTGGTGATTTGGGGTATAATGATGATACAACAGACCCAGAGAAACCTGACAAAAGAGATTATGTTGGTGAGGATGAGTGGAATCGTGTCTATTTCACACAAGGTGGTTTATTAGAAGAAGGTTGCAAGTACGATGGTAGTTCAGAAACTTTGACCATGCCAAAAGATTTGAATATGGTGTACAATCTTTTAAATGATTTTACTGGTTTTTGGTACTACAATTCTGACAAGGTTACTCACTGGTACATTAAAGATAATAATCATAACAAAGATATTGCTGAAGGGTTGTTACAACGTAATACTGAAAATTTCGGTTATTGGCAGTTTACTCAACCTTATAATTTATGTTACGGTGACGGTGATTGGGCTTGATGACGTTGTCCTGTGTATATTCTCATTACTTGAGCATTAACATTAAGTAAATACAGATTTATTATAACAACTTACAAGAAACAAATTTTAGACGTAGTTTGTACAGATTCTGCCTATCAGGTTAGAAGCCCTGCCCACCCTTCTTTACTTCCCACCACCATCACGGCATAGTTGAAAATTATGGCGTTCAACAAATCAAATTTAAATGAAAAGTAATCCTTTTAGAACTCTTGTAAACCATTGAATGAAATTATTCAATTCTTTGAAATCAATAAGACCAGTGCTTACTCAGAGAAGATCATTAAAGACAATGTCTGAACCAAACTTTACCTCTTTATTTAAAAAGTATGTAACTCCTTTGTTGATCTAGTACTATAAATACCAACTAACTAACTCACCAGAATTGATGAATTAAAACCAAAATTCATTGAAAGATTAAGATCCGCTGTGGAAATCCCATCAGTCTCAGGTGATGAATCTCTTAGACCACAAGTTGTTAAAACTGCTGAATTTTTACAAAAAGAACTAATTGCACTTGGTGCTCAAGATATTGAATTAAGAGAATTAGGTACACAACCACCACCAGTTGCAAACAAGGATTTACAATTACCACCAATTGTCCTATCAAGATTTGGTAAAGACCCATCCAAGAAAACTGTATTAGTTTATGGTCATTATGATGTTCAACCTGCTGCTTTAGAAGATGGTTGGAATTCTGATCCTTTTAAATTAGTTGAAAAAAATGGAGTTCTTTATGGTAGAGGTTCTTCTGATGATAAAGGTCCTGTTATTGGTTGGTTAAATGCTATTCAAGCTCATAAGGAATTAGGTTTAGAGTTACCAGTTAATTTAATTACTGTTTTTGAAGGAATGGAAGAATCTGGTTCCCTTGGGTTAGATGAATTAATTAAAAAAGAAGCTAATGGTTATTTTAAAGGTGTTGATGCTGTAACAATTTCTGATAATTATTGGTTAGGTACTGAAAAACCAGTTTTGACATATGGTCTTAGAGGAGTTAATTATTATGAAATTGAAGTTAGTGGACCAAATGCTGATTTACATTCTGGATTATTTGGTGGGATTGTTTCAGAACCATTAAATGATTTAGTTAAATTATTAGCAAATTTAGTTGATGGTCAAGGTAAAATTTTAATTAAAGGTATTGATGAACAAGTTGCTCCATTAACCGAAAAAGAAGATAAAATTTATGATGATATTGAATTTGATGTTAAAGTGTTGAATGATGCTACAGGTTCTGAAACTGCTTTGTATAATGATAAAAAATCTATTTTACAACATAGATGGAGATATCCATCTTTATCAATCCATGGTATTGAAGGTGCCTTTGCAGAAGCTGGTGCTAAAACTGTTATCCCTGCAAAAGTTAAAGGTAAATTTTCAATAAGAACAGTTCCAAATATTGAATCTAATAAATTAACAGAATTAGTTATTAAACATGTTGAAGAACATTTCGCAACCCTCAAATCACCAAACCAATTAAAAGTTGGTTTAATTCATGATGGTGATTATTGGTTAAGTGATCCTTTTAATGAAAATTTCACTGCTGCAAGAAAAGCCACCAAGGCAGTTTGGGGTATAGAACCAGATTTAACAAGAGAAGGTGGTTCAATTCCAATTACTTTAACTTTTGAAAAAGAATTGAAAACTTCTGTCTTGTTATTACCAATTGGTAGAGGTGATGATGGTGCTCATTCAACTAATGAAAAATTAGATTTAAGTAATTATATTGAAGGTGTTAAGACTCAATCTGCTTATTTACATTATTATGCTCAAGGTGAGAAATAATGTTACTCATAGTATATTACTTTTTATAATTTATTTAAATATTGATGTTGATTTTAACTTATTGATCTTCTTTTGTATTGTGGCTAAATTTAAACAATAGCATTCATACCCGCGACTTGAAAAAAAATAAACTTCAGATCTGATCAATTTACGATGACAAATACTAATACTTACCCCAGGACCCAGTGCTCAATAGGAATCCATTTAGCCACAAAGGTCAAGGATCTTAACAATGATCAAACCAATCCCAGTTCATATCCTTGGAGCAGGGTCAATAGGTATATTCATAGCTTCAAAACTTTCAAATTTGAAAACCTCACCAAGTATAACTTTATTATTAAGAAATTTATCAAAAGTTGAAAACTTCCAATCAGTTTATAATTCCACGATTCAATTGAAATCTAAAATCACTCCTCAAGTTGATATCCAAAAATTTAAATTCAATTCCTCATGTCCAGAATCATTCATTTCTAGTCCTAGTATTATTGAAAATTTAATAATAACTACAAAAACTTATCAAACAGAAGAAGCCCTTCAAAAATATCTTCCTTTTATAAAACCATCATCAAATATTATCCTTGTGCAAAATGGTCTTGGTGTCCCACAAAAACTTTATGAGAACATATGGCCAAATTTACAAGAAAGACCTAATTTATTCCAAGGTGTCATTGGTCATGGTATTAATACCCAGGGGGGTTGGATTTTTACACATACAGGATTAGGTGATTTAAAAATATCCAAAATTCCTAAAGATTTAAATAATCCTGATAAAGAATCTGTACAAAAACCTGAGATTGTTGAATTATTAGAAAATTGTAAAGAATTAGATACTATATGTTTTGAATATAGTGATTTATTATTATTTCAAATTAAAAAATTCGTGGCTAATGCAAGTATAAATTCTATAACATCAATTATAGATTGTATAAATTATGAATTAAGAAGTTATGAAGGACTCCAGGGGTTAGTTTATGATACCATAAGTGAAATAATTGATATTTTAGTCACAACAACACCAATAATTAAAAAAAATCCTCAATGGAAGACAATATTAGATAAACAAGAATTAACTAAATTTGTTTTATATTATGCTACAGAAGTTCATGCAAATTCTTCAACTTCAATGAGACAAGATGTTTTAAATAATAGAATTACTGAGATTGATTACCTAAATGGATATATTGTTAAATTGGCTGAAGAGAATGGTTTAAAAGCAGATGTTAATAAGACTATAACTAATTTGGTTAAATTGAGAAGTTCGGTTAATAGATCAAGAGCAAAACTTATATAAATTTATAAATAGATGTAAATATTCTGATAGATAAAAGCTACATGATCTGATATGAAAAGTAGTGAATTTGTATATTGATAAAAACGGTATGAGATCTTAGATATTCAATTGTGTGATATTGTAAACAATCAACAACAAATTGATATCAGATCTTCATGTCTAAGATATTTTGAACTCTGAAATCTGATCAAAACTATTATGACCAATAATAATTTGAATATATCATGTTTTGAAACAGATTAGACACAATAACAATCGATGCAACTTTCAGTAAAGTAACTAACAATATCATGAATCAAAAGCAAAAAAAGTAGATAATTAATTCCTTTATATTGCAATATCACAGATGATTGAGTGTACTTTAATCAATAAATTCTTTCAAATCTTAAGAAATGAATGATGGTTATAACGAATTTTGATATTGAATTGAAGACAGCATTATATTAGAACATTCAAAATCTTGAAAGATAACATCAAAAACATTAATGAGAATATAATGATATAGTACTATTTAGATTGTAGACGTTTATGAATAAATTTAATTTTGAAAAGTTTAAATTAACCAGGAGCGCAAAAAAAAATTCAATTACACGCGAATTATGTAACATGAATTTATTAACAGTGGCCTCAATTACTTATTGTTTACTTCGTGTTCAAGAATCTCAGTACAAGTTATATTATATCAATTTATTTCAGACTACAATACATTTACTGCTCAAAATTTTGAAGGATGAATTATGTATACTATAATTATATATATTCCAAAAAAAATTGCAAAGAAATTCATTTGATTTATTTGTGTATGATATTGTAGTCAATCAACAACAAGATAATCAATGTATATTTTGTTTTGTATTGAAACAACTGATATTTTATCATCAAATTAACGGGTTTTTTTGTCGAATGTAGAATCAATGACATGATTTTCAATTATAGCTTGATTTCCGAAGCTTAAATAAGGACCTAGTCGCCTTCCAACAATAAACATTTTCAAAGAACTGTCGCCCAAATACACCGTGAACAAATTGCCACATAAGCGAAGTGTAAGTACAAATATAACATCAAAAAGACAACACCAATTTTGACGAGTTTAAGAAATCCCCTTAAGATAATTAATTTAAAATAAAAGAAGACGTACGACGTTAGAAAAGAAAATTTTGTTTTTTGATTTTTTTCCATCATCATCAAAATTTTAATTCGGGTGCAGTTTGATTTGATGCAGTCAACTATCTCATAAGACTTTGACTGATTGATAACGTTGCAAGTTTGATTAATAGATCAAGGGATAAACTTTTATAGATTGAGCTTCAATAGTTGTAAATGAACTGGAAAAGTTGTGAAGAAATCTACATGTGATCTGTATGAATTAAAGGTACTGGATTTGTATATATTGATAAGAAAAGTATGAGACCTTTGAATATTCAATTGTGTATGATATTGTAAACAATCAACAACAAATTGATATAGGATCTTTATCTAGTTTATAATTTTGAATTCAAGAGTACTGATCAAAACCGGAAATATACTAGGATCAATAATTTTGAAGAAGTCATGAGTGATAAGCTTAATCATATTAATACGCCCCATGCGGAATGCCTGAATTGCTAATGCTCATTCCTATTCTTTATCAGGTTATACCGAACTCAAGTTTTATGTGAATGATGGAACCAAATTCCCTTTTTCAAATCAACCACACATGGCTGATAAAAACAGATATTTTGTTTAATGATATAATGGAATAGTTAGCATACTCAAAACTCAAACAAGTGAACGTCGTATTTAATTATTGTCGAAAATTTTATCCTACAATTTGATAATCCGCGAATTACATGTGACATAAATAATCATATCATATATCTGTGTCTTAAGAATAATCATCTATGATCGAATAGAGCAACAATAATTCATTTATAATTGCTGTTAATGCCAATATATGATAAATCTACATGATTAATTCTTAGTCATATCAATATGAAAAATGATGTATAATTATACAGCTTAAAAAATATAAAGAAATTCATTTGATCTATCTGTGTATGATATTGTAAACAATCAACAACAAGGATATGGTCAATATTTCTTATGATTTATTAGATCATATACAAGATCATGATCAGTTCTAACGTCACATATCGACTTGATCATCATTGACGATATAAATTAAAGCAGACGTAATGTTAAAACTTCAACATAATCAGATATAAATAAAGGAGCTTCCGAATTTCGTTGAACACAACTTATTTCTTTATAAAAGAGTGATCAACCGAATTCTATCAAAAGTGACTGGTTATGGATTAATAATGACCTTCAAAAACGAACCAAAAAACGGAAAAGTAAATGATTTGATACTCTTGAATTCTTTATAATAGAATGAGATATTTCCCTTGGTAATTCAAATATTCAAATAGACCATGGAGAAAATTTTAGTATAATAAGATTCCAGAAAAAATTGATATTAAAATTCCCAAAACAGTGCGCATACCAGTAGTATAACCATGTGACTAAATTTAAATAGTTTGAAGTACACCGTATTATTCAATATTTCACCGTTGAGGATATCAACTATTAACATATTGAGGAAATATCATGAGCATGAAAAGGGGTATATGTAAATAATCTGAAAAGACGAAGAAATTTACATAATCTCTGTATCATGAAAAGTAGTGAAAATCAATTGTATATTAAAAAAGCTTTTGAGATCTTTGAATATTCAATTGTGTATGATATTGTTAACAATCAACAACAAATTGATATTAGATCTTTATCTATTAATTCATGATTTTCAATTCAAAAACTAATCAGAACTAGTATATACTAGTTTACTAGGATGCTAGGATTAATATAATATTGAATATTCTCATATTGTCAGCTAGCTAAATCTTACATCAGTTCAGAAAATGAGATTTTCAGAGATTAAATGTTATAGTCACGTCACCAATTCGATCACAAAATCATATGAAAACAATCTAAGTTAGCTGAATTGGGTTGTGTTACACCAAATATTAATGGCCCCAACAGCTTTAGATTCTTTGAATGAAAAAAAAAGGATGAATCGGAAAAACTGGTGCTCAAACCAACAATATAAGCATATGAGATATGAGATATGACTCAATTTAAATCAAATTATAAGTAACTAAATTCCAATTCAATACTTAAATGAATACAATGATCCAGATTTTTTAAAGTTTTGTATATTTTCAATAAACAGATTGTTCAAATCTTTATAGTACAGCTATTGGTATTACACACAACAATATTAAACATGCAGATTACCAGATTAACAAACGTGGTGGTAGTTTTGTTTTTATCAATAGTAGCTATGACCTTAGAGGCTAACTTAACTAGGTTTGCTGATTGTATTTCCTATTATTCAAATGAAGATTATACATACAATATTGAACAAGGTGTGATTGCTGTATTCCCAGAAAATGATAGAGTCATAGATAGAAGAGGTGTTGATAGTGTTGTCTTTAGATGTGCACAAATGATTGGTGCTCCTGGGTGCTTTTATCTTAGACAAAATTCTCATCCTGCTTATACTCCTGTGCAAGCATTAACTGGTGTTCAGCTACTTGAACAAACAATAGAAGGTGTCATTTCCCTAGTCGAAGATCCTAGAACAAACACAAATAATAGAACTGGGACGCTGGAAAGTCGACGTGATACTGCATACTACGGTTTTGGTGGATTTAGTACAGAACAGAAACATTAATCAGTTATATAGTAGAATGAATATATGAATTTATACAACAACAGCATTCTAATCATATATCTTTATTCATAATTGTAAATAAGCTGTAAAAATTCCATCATCAACTGGTTCGTTTGATTCTTAATCAATAGCCTATTAAAGTTTAAATCATATGCATCTTTTAATGAATTATCAGTATTTGAAATATTCATGAATCGTCAATTTAACTTCGTCAACATCTGATTCGAGACGTCTTGATCTTCTCCTGCTCTTCTTTGCCATGTCATAAGAGTGATCTTGATCATCTGTAATTCACAGTAAATTTGAACGACTTGTTTATGTATTGAATATTTTCACCTGGAACAAGTTTAGTTGTGATTAAATTGTCAGATGATCCTTGAAAACATAATCATTAATCTTTTTCATGTTGTTTTGTCTATTTGAAGACTTCTGACAAAATTTTTTGGTGGTTAAAATTTCTATAGATCAGTAGCAACATCAGTAAGTATCATTATATATATAACAGCATGATCACAAGAAACTAATTCATTTAAGTCACTGAAGTTTGAATCCATGGATCCCTTTGAAACTTTAGTTAACACAAATGAAAGTGTTGATGTTTTGAAAAGTAAACAAAGGAATAGTTGATTACATAATACACCAATTCTAAAACCACTTAAAGTGTACATTATTGTATATTTGGTGACTTTAAAAGAAGGATGATCCAGATGATATTCCTTAATAAAATAGCGGCTATCTGCTCATAACACTTTCATACTACCATCTATGTTTTAGTATTTTATCTTGTTTGATAAGGGGACCAAGATTTGCTTGGTCCGCTCTTGGGACCCAAATTCAATTTAAGCGCGATCATTAAATGTCCAATCCAACCCCAGTTTTTAATCCAGCTTAACACAACTATGATACAGGTATAATAACTAAAAAAGCACCGTGATAAAAATATAATGAGGACAACAAGATCATCATTGCAACATTTGATCAGGACAATCATAAATCCTGTGAAACATACACCCACAGATTCACTCAAATCGCTAAGTTTTACTCCAAGATCACTAATACTATTGTCAAATTCAAGAAACATACAAAAGGCAACTCAAGATATTCTTGAACTGTCCAATGCCAGTCAGGCATTATCAAGGGTACTTGATATCATTAAGCTATCCAATTCCAATCAGTCATTATCATTGGTACTTGCTTCTGTGGATTCTGTGTATCAAGATTACACCTCTGAAATTTGGTTATCGAAACCATTGACATTCCAAGATGCTTTAACTTTAGATGAAAATGGTGATAAATTTCAACAACACAAGACTCAATTAACCTTCGATTTCCATAAAGATCAGATTAAATTACCATTGGTGAGGACAGATCCTTTTACTGATTTCCCATATACCTTATGTTTCAAGCTACAAGATGGTTCATTTTCACCAATATTATCTGAATTATCTATTTCATTACCGCTGATTCCATCTGAAGTTAAATCAAAGACATCTTTGGAAGTCATACATCAAGATTGGTTCAGAATCACAAGTCATTTAGATAATATGATCAAGACTATAAACGGTAAACCCGCCTCAGAAATATTACTATCTAAACTAAAAGATGCAAATTTAGGGAAGACTCAAGAATCTGTTTTCTTAGAACTCAGATCAAAAGGTGTATCAATAAATAAATATGAAGTGATTGCAGGAGGTGGTGAATATGGCGCTAAGAGTGAAATGTTGGTATTGAACTGTGATAAGCTCCCACAGGCTGAAAATTTAGAAGGAAGATTCTTATGTTCCATTGGAAATGTTGATAATCAAAACCCCAAAGGACTCATAATAGAACAAGTATCTGATGATTCAAGAATAGTCTTGAAGGATAAAGATATATTACTTGATAATCATCTAAGAATCGGTAATGAAGCTGGGTTTGAGTACAATGAAGTGAATTTCAAAGCAAGAGATGATCAAGTTGAATTACAATTCAAGGAATGATGTGCTACGATTAAACTACAATGATAAAATTTTCACCAATTCTATAATATTAAAATTGGCTTTGTATACAAAAACAAAAAAAAAAAAAAGACCATAAAGATCATGCAAACAGAAAGGACCATAAAAGATCATGCAAATAAAAAAACAAATGAAGAACCATAAATGGTCCTGATGCAAAACAAAAAAGCAAAACAAAAAAGCAAAACAAAACAACAAAACAACAAAACAAAACAAAACCAGAGTAAACCCATATTTCTCAGATATAAAGAGCACAAATTCCCCCAAAGATGAACTCAATTATCAAAACCATATGAACCTCTTATGCAAAAAAACCAAACCAAAACAAAACAAATGAATGATCAACCGCTGACCATTCTTACCCATCCACCCTCCATTAACTAGTTTAAAAAAATATAACAAAACAAAGCAAAACAAAACAAAAAGATGAATAAATGATTAACCGCTTACCACCAACCACCAACCACCACCGCCATAAACTAGTTATATTGAAAAATATAAATGCTGGCTTAAGATAATGTCCCCACCATCATCAAAAGCAACCACATGTAACTTCAATACCATATGTATATTCATCTCTCAAAAAGTACTCATTGGTTTCCCCATTCCAACTCAAACTTCAATCAAAACGCCTATGACATATAACTCAAATTATTGAGAATAATCTCATCAAAGACCTCAATATTAACTTGACTCTTATAGCTCAAACTGAACTAAAATCCCCTCCCTTCTCCCCTATCTATAATTGGATAACTAAAATCCAAACAATTCATGAACAAAATGTTCAAGACATGAACTGAAAACTAGTAATATAATATGTACAAGAAAATAAACATGATGATATCTTTCAATCATCATCTCTCAAAACAATCATATAAATGTTTGAGATAAATGTGATATTAACGTAATCATTTTGGACCGGACCCACAACAACATATAACAATCTGAAATATAAACATAATTCAATTATAACAATGGTACTAAACAATTCAGCCCCCCAACTAAATTGTTTGTACTGATATATTGCTCATATAAATTCCTCAAAGTGGTTGAACTAGTATTAACACCTTGGGTATATATGCAAAGTAATTTGATAGTATTACCTTGATGTTATATTATAATATATGCAAAGTAATTGAACTTAATCACACCTTGATCATATATAACTCAGTGATATATTATTAATATATGTGATCATGTTATATTTATGTGTTGTGGATAAGGAAAAGAAAAAAAGAATAAAGATATCATGAAATAAACTAGAGGATTTGACTCCCTTTATAGTTTTTTAGAATGAATATTGACCTATGTTGATGGATTGGTTTTCTGTTCAATGTATCCACTTTCTGTTCGAGTATATCCATTTTCTGTTTGAATGTATTTATTTTCTGTTTGATCATATATCGAGGAGTTTGAATGTAATACATTATACAAGTGCTGCTCATAGCTGGTTATCCTCTCCTGCGGTCTATATTTTCGATATACTACTAGGAGGGATTTTTTGAGTTTATTTTCAATATAGCTTGCAGACAACATAGTAGACGGTAAGTAACGTACTCATCGAAGCTCTAAGTTACAATATACATTTGGTTATTTACTTAAAAATGTATAATATAGTGTAGTGCTTTATACAGATTGAATTAATATGTTATACATATTAGCCCGGAGCCAGCTAGCGAAATAGATTCAGAAGTCATCTAAATCACTATTATGACCAACAAAGAAATTCCAATAGTCAATTGATTGAGTTTTTTCAAATGCTGAACTGAAAAGTTCTGGAATATCAACTGAAGAACATTCATCATCACTTTCATCTTCATCAATAACCATGATGAAATCACGAGATGAATCACAGTTATGGAAATGTGATTTATCAGTTGTAATTAATGGTGCAAGCATCCAATAATGTTTTGATTCCCATTTGATTCCATTACTATGAACATCAAGGAAATGAACAAGCTCTCCAATCTCAAAATTTTCTGGTTTAGAATTGAAAAACATAAAATCTGGGGAAGATGTAGATGTAAAATCAATACCAGCTTTTTTTGATTTATTTTGATTGAAAATTGAACTAATTTCATTGACTTGACTATTTGGAAAACAGAGAAGTCTTTCAAGAACATCATCAAGTTCATAATCCTTATTCTTAATGATCATAATGACTTGACTTCTTTCATGAGCAAATGGATCATTAATATGACGTTTTGGAACAATTTCAAAAGTTGCAATATCCATAGAGACCCTTGAAGAACCAAATAATGCGTTTAATTTGGAATGGAATGGAGCATTTGATCTACCAAATTGTTTAAGGAAACTTTCACCATATGCCAATTGTGTATAAGCACCATTTGAGCTAGTATTATCTAAAGGCTTAACCATGTAGTCAAATTTGAGGAAATAATCTCTTTCAGGTTCTGTTGGAACTGGGGGTGAAGGAGGAGTAGCACCAGGAACAAGAATATCAGGAATGTATCTTGGCTTTGAACGTGATTCAAGTCTAGCTTGTCTCTTGTTGTTCAATAATGTGTTGTATCTGAGGGTTTTGTAAGCAGCTAAAGTACCGGATTTCATTTTCAGTATATGTTATATTGATGAAAGTGGGATTTAGTGATGTTTAAAAGAAAGAAAGAAATTCAAAGTTTCAGGATGTTTGGTTTCTTTTATAGTTTAGAATGTGTACACTGTGATCCTTTGAGAGAGAATAATACTCATAGCTCATTACTTGAGTGTGATTTAATTGATATATTTAGTTCTGTGTTGCTCAAGTAATATGAGTTGATATTTCGAGAGATTTTATATGAGCTCTGATGAAAAAAAAAAGATGATTGATTAAAAAGGACGTATAAGCTAATATACTCCTACAGCGATATCAGTATAATAGATTCAATACCATTAAAATATAGATTCATGTATACCTGCAAATGTTGTATTGTGTACAAATTTTGTGATATAATCATTCGTAATTCTGCGAGATCAAAAATCTTCCAAATCACCATCTTGACCAATCATAAAATTCCAATGATTGATAACGTTTGTTCTAATCATTGACATATTGAAGAGTCTTTCGAACTTATAAGGTCTATAATCTGGTCTTGTTTCATCAATAACCAACAAGAAATCACTTTGAGGATCAGTATCTTTAAAATGGAATCTTTCAATTCTCAAGCTTGGTGAAATACAATAATAAAAACAAGTTCTCCATATGATATCATCTTGATTAAGCTCAATGAAATCAACAAGGTCATTAAATTCAAAATTCCCAGGTTTTGTATTGAAGAAGATAAAATTTGGCGGAGTTACAGACTCAACATTATTAGGATCGAAATGTTCTTCATTAGTTAGATTGATTTGTCTTTTAGTATCTTGATCAAAAATTGAGCTTTGATTGACATATCTATTAGGGAAACAGCGGAGTCTATCAATAACATCATCAAAATCATAGAATAAGCTTCTAAAAATCCAAATTTCTTGTACTTTATCATAAGCACCACTATCAGTAATATGTTTCTTTGGTGTTATTTCAAACCTTGCAATATGCATTGGGGTTTTAGGAGAAAACGCAAGCTCTTTTAACCTTTCTTCATAAGGTATATTGCGATCAGCAATAATATTAAGAAATTTTTCATTAGGTGTAAATTGAACCAAATCCTTGCAATAACGTCCATCAAAAGTTAAAGGGTTGATATTGTAATTCTTGAATAAATTATATTCCTTTTCAGGAGCTGATGATGATTTAAATTCTTTATCAGGAGAGTTCTTTTGGAGTTCTTTTTGTTTGATTAAGGGGTCTATGGTAGGACTCTCGATGTTATTCAAGATTCTAATTGTTTCACGTTTGCTTTTGATAAGTGTGCTTTTGTTATTCATTTTGATTTTTTGTTTATGATATAGAGTATTAAGAAAGAAAGAAAATAGAAGAAGAGATGTTGAGAGATCAGAATCCCCTTTTATACTTTTCTATAATCATGGTTGAGTTCTTTTGACTAAACAGACATTTGTGTATCCATGAGTATATTATATGAGAAATATAGCTCCAATATTGTGAGACCATTATGAGAAACTTTGAGGTATTTTAAAATCCATACAAGCCATTGCTAGTATGATGACATCCACAGACTACCCATGAAAATCATCTTTGAGTGATTCATACCCTGTTCCTGTTGTTTATTGTTCTTGAAAAAAATATTTTTGACTGTCACGAAAACACGGTAAAGAAAAAAATAAAATAGCCTTTCACAGCGCACACAAATATCATCACAAGATCTTAACAAAACACAGGGTTTCCCAGAATAACAAAGGGTGAAAAGGAATAAGAGCATGAAACCCAGCATACGATGTGCCAGACATCACTGTCGTACGATTTACAACCCAGTCACTTATAACCTGCAACGCTCATACAACTCATTACCATTCAAGCCAAAAGCATTGTTTTATCCACATTCTAGTAATAATATCCAAAGAGTATCACATGAACTACAAATTTTGAAAGATATAGATCCAAGCATTCAAGTTGTCACTGCAAGTATTGATATGAAATATAAGGATGCGATTGGTGAAGCATGGTTTGATAAACCAATAAATATCAACTCATACAGACGGTATAAAGATGTTGAGAGTGAGATCAGTACTGCTTTTGATCATTTTAGAATGGTTATTCACAAAAAGAAGATTGATCTTTCATTTATTCATATGTTTTTAGAAGAACAGATTGTCAATATGTATGTCAAAGAACCACATGGTGAATTTGGTAACCTTTTAACACAACTTGAAGTTGAATTACCATTTGATGAGAATGAAACAACTTATACATCAAAATCACAATATAAGGCTATTTCTGGGAAATTAAAAGTGAATGAAATTTCTGAAGAAGATTATTTAATAAAAAAGTTGAGTGGATTTAATGCTGGTGCATTATTTGAAAAACTAAAAGACAAAACAGAATTAATGGGTAAAGATTATAAATATTTACTTGAGGTTAATGAAAATGGTAAAAGAAATAGAGTAAGGGTTCATGATGAACATTTTGGTGAAGAAGACTTGGGGATATTGATAGATTCACCACCGCCAGCAGTGGGGACAAATTGTCAATTATATCAACTTTGTATGGATGATTTATATACACCAGTGATATTTAATGGTCTTTTAATTGAAAAATATCACAAGAAGAATCATAAACATTTTTTAAGAGATGATGTAATCGTGGAAAATGTTTTAAATTTGGGTGCTACTAGTGGGTTTATGGTTGATGATAGACAATATATTGGTTTTGGTGATCATGTTAAAATTGAAGCCATTGATCAATAGTTGAATGACAACTTTTTTTACGACAAATAATGATCATATAATTGAATTGTATATGGAAAAAGGTATAGAAAACTTGTATATAGATGAGCTATGAATATAATATTTAATAAGATAGATCAACGTATTGCAAGCTAGTACTGAACAATAAATTCATCATATGCAGACAACTATTCGATCGCGTCGCGACGTTATAATACATGAATTGATTGAAGTATAACAACAAAAATTTCAATGATATTAAAAACTCTGACCTATAGATCGATTAAATCATAAAGAAATAGATAAAATTGGACAATTGTCTATAAAAATTAGTAAAACTATCTATATTAAGTGTTAAAAATTGGAAATTAACAAAAAAATAAAGCTATTCCGATGCGGGGAGTCGAACCCCGGTTTGCCCGGTGAAAGCGGACCGTGCTAGCCGTTACACTACATCGGATTACTTGATATTTTACTAATCTGCTGGATTACCGGGTTAGATATCGCAAAAAAAAAGCATATATCGCAAAAATCGCCTCATTTTGAGCTTAAACTCATATAAGATGATGTTAAAAGTAGTTATAAAAGTTCACACAAAGTCTCAGAAAGATTGAATTGTTCATTGTCGAGTTAAATGTGATTTTATTTCACACAAAATTTTCAATTCTGCCAAATATTACTGGTTCACTAAAATTTTCAGATATAAGCCGCCCACGTAGAGAAGAAAATTTGCACATAACCATTAACTAACTCATTAACTCGCTCTGGGTAGTTGATGTCTATTGTAGGGTGAGTGATGCCCTTTTCTAAAGAGAAGTATTTGATCATTAATCTGGCTAGCAATCTGGATTTCACTGAATAAACTTGTGATCAGTTCACCTTTAAGTATATATAGCATATTTGTGTTTTGTGTTATATATCCCAAAGCCATAGGTTTTTCAATTATCTAAAGGATAGACTACAAGGGTTTAAGTTCTTTGTGATTGTTAATACATGTGGCTCATCATTTTCAAATACTTAATTTAGAGTTAAACCAGCTGACGTAGCTTAGATTTAATCACTTACCAATAACTGTTAAGATCTTTTTGAAGCATGGCATTAATGGCATCAGTAATAGTACCATCAACTACAAGAGAATCAATTCACTTCATAAAACATTCATATAATAAGTAATATATAGATACATAAGTCAAGCCAAATTATGGATTGCAATCACAACAATGACCCTGATTGAGCTCTATGTTTCCAAATAGAATTTTGATCAGGATAAGGAGAAGAATTGGTTAATAGATTAGATCTAATAATTTCTAAATCTTCTGGAGTTAATTCTAAATATTTCAAACAATAATTTTCAATACCACCAAATTTTTCATTAAATAATTCAATTGAAGCAATCATACTTTCATATTTTGAACTAATTAAATTATTAAACATATCTTCTGGGGTTAATAATAGCAGATCTTTGAAGTGTTCATTAGTTGTTGATGATGAAGATGAAGTTGATTGATTTTTCATTATTTCCTCCATACCTGATATAAATTCCTTTTTAATAGTTGCATGATCTGGTATTAGACCAATAGTAGTTAATTCATATTCTTTAGCAATAATATGATTATCAACACCTAATAGCAACAAGATCAACATTGCCATAACACCTGTACGATCTTTACCAGCGGTACAATTAAACAAGATTGGAACATTCTTTTTATCTCTCAAAAATAAAAACACAGATTTAAATGCATAAATCCCATGATTTAACATATTTTCATAAACATATTTATAAGTAAACCATGAAGTTAAAAGATTTTTATACCTTAGGGCAATAGCTTGTGGTGATGCATCAGTTTTAGTGAAAACTGGGATATTATTAATATTTATACCTTCAATTTCTAAACCACCAGCTTTTTTGAATTCTCCATATGATCTAAAATCAAAAACACTCTTGATGCCAATTTTCTTCAATTGTGATTCACCCAAGGGAGTAATCTTTGAAGTATTTGCAGATCTGAAAATTATACCAGCTTTAACATATTTTCCACTATTTTTAACTTTCCAACCTCCAATATCTCTAAAGTTTGAAATTCCATCAATTGATTTCCATCTTGGATATTGATAAATGAAATAATTTGACTTTTTGAATCGGTGAACCTCATTAATTGATGAAATCCAATCCAAAATAATCTCAACAGCTTGATAATTATAATTAACTCTATTTTTTTTAGTTATTGGATAATTATTAGGGTTTAGCCTGCTGGAATTTTCATCTGTAACAACTTGTGAACCATAATAATTATGATCAGCATAATTAATAAATTTTAACGTATGTCTTGAACCCAATAGATTTGCAAAATTTGAAGAATCTTCCACAGGTACAATATGATCATGTAATCCATAAATACTTAAAACTTGAACTTCATCATTGATAAATTTAATATCATCTAAATTTTGTGAACCTAAATCATTATTTTCTTCATCTGAAATCCTTATATCTTCATATTTACCTAATCTATATTGAGTTAAAAAAATTCTACTAAAATTTTCTTTTAAATCACCAATATTTAACAAAACTGTTTGATTAAATCTACCTGAAGTATTAATAATATTTTGAACAAATCTATAAGGTTCACCTTTATCTAATTTTTTTTGTTCTTCAATTGCCCATCTAAAAGCAGCAACCGAGCCTCTTGAATGTGCAATAAAAGAATGTGTAATTAAATTAATTCCAATTTCTTTATATGTAGAACCTTTTGCGAAAACATCATAACAAATATTGATATCCTCAATATCATGAATCATTTGTCTACCAAATTTAACATCTTCATTATCTTGAGAGTCTCCACATCCTCTAAAATCAAATCTAAAACTGAAAATACCTTGCTTTGAAGCTAATTCTTGAGCCAATATAGCTTGATAACAATAATTTTTATGACCACCTTTACCATGTAATATTAAAGCTAATTTATGAGTTGGTGGACTTGACTTGAGGAATAATTCAGGTTTTGATAATAATTCTTGTTCAGAAATTAATGCATTTTGTGGTATTGTTAAAATACCCACTAAACCTTGAGCATTGGGGTTTTTAGAAGTTGGAATTGAGATTGATAATAGTTTTTCATTTTCTTTAAGCTGATAGTTTGTACAGACCTCATTAGGTAATAGCTTGACTGTGCTCATCCTTGATAATTGTCCACTAAAACTTCAAGTAATCAAAAGATCTCTAATTCAATTAACTTTTATACTCAACGTTTTTTCATTTTGAGGAGGTCCCTTTATAAATTCGTCCGAGGATGAAAAAACTAAAATTTACGAAGTTGTTTAAATAGCGAGTATATCCGAAAGCCAAATACGAAGTCAAAAAAAAAAATTCATCATCAATTCGTTAATTTTTTATAAATAATTAATTTATGAACAAGAATATATAGAGAGTGTGAATACTGTTCATTCATTCAGCCATTCATCCTGGTAAATCTCTTGCATAGTTGGTCTTTTCTTAATATCTCTTTGTAAGATTTTCTTAATCAATTTTATACATCCTTCACTTAATATATAAGGAATTCTTAAATCTCCATCCATAATCTCATCAACATTATAAAATGGATTTTCTTTATAAATCAATGTATATAATAAGATCCCCAAAGACCAAACATCTTGTGGTTTACCTTCATATGGTAAACCATTTAAAACTTCTGGTGCAGCATAATCTAAAGTCCCAACAAAAACATCAAATGGACCAGTTTTAACATAAGCAGCAGAACCAAAATCAATTAATTTTATAACACCATTATTATCAATGATTAAATTTTCATCTTTAATATCACGATGAACTATACCGTTAATATGTAAATGATTAATTGCACTAATACATTGTTTTGAAATTGATTTAATCTCAAATTCATTCATTGTTTTTTGTAATTCAATTAAATCAAATAAATCTATACCTGGTGCAGGGAATCCATGTTGTGGAGTTTCAATATAATAATAATCATCATCTTCGAAAAAATCAATTAATCTCATAATATTTGGATGAGGATCATTATTTAATGTTGACATTATTTGAATTTCTGATGGGATTGTACCCAGTTTCCTATCACGAACCCATGTATCCACCAAGATACGTTCTTTTATAATCAGTTTAATAACAATTTTATAATTTATATCCTTCTTATATTGAGCCAGTACAACTTTACCATAAGCACCTTGACCCATATTTTTTAAAATTTTAAATTCTTTAATTGATTTTTCACGTCTCTTGGAACCAATTTTTCTTGGATAATATTTTGATAAATTTTGATTTTGTGCTATAGTTTCATTTTCTAATTTTAATAGCGTATGTTCATCAATGTTTTTCCCCAATATTTTGAATTTTAAACCTTCTTCATCCTTACGAGTTTCTTCTTCTTCAACATTTGATAAATTTGATAAATCAGATGAGGATGTAACATTTGAAGATCTAAGACTTGATGATCTACTAACGGATTGAATTTCATTTTCATTTAATATAGATAATTGTGAAGGAATCTCATCATTTTCATCATCATTATTTGGATCCATTGTATCAATTTCAACTTCTTCCTCAACAATTTCTTCTTTATCATCAATGATTTTAACACTTCTAACAGATCTTGTCTTAATCATACCCGGTCTTTTCAATGAAGTTGGAGGTTTAAATTCATCCTTTGTTGTTGATGTTGTTGTTGTTTCAGTGGTTGATTTTGGTGAATTTGAATCATAAATAGATCTTGAATGAGTAATCCATAAAATTAAAGTATCAACATTTGAACATCTTAATTGAACATCAATTTTCATTGGAGATCCATCTGAATGTTTACCAATTATACCTGTTGAATTTAAAAAATCTTCTTCATTATTTGTACCTTTTTCAATTAATGAATTTAATTTTCTAAAAAAATGATCTGGTAAAACAAGACCAGGTAAAATTTTTAAATTTTTAAAAAATTTACCAATTAATTCCATTATTTTTGTAAAAATTGGAATTATTTTATTTATTGATTGATTTATTAATTGAGATTCATGGAATCCAAAAAGATTCTTAGCAACAGATTCATTAAATGATAAAATTTTATAATTTTCCAAAGGATTATTTGAAATTATGAAAACACCTGCTATATAAGGTAATGAATGAATTTTCAATTTAACTTTATTTAAATTTTCATCAATAACTTTAATAAACACAGCACAAGGAATATTTATTCCATTTTTATTTAATGTAAAATATCTTTGTGAATTAATTTGTTGAGTTTGATAAAAAACATCTGGATATCCTTTATCCTCTTGATCATGATCAACCTTTATGACATCATCAAGATTATTAATTATTTCATCTAATTTATCAATTTTAGATAAAAATTTATTATTGAAAAAACTACCACCACTAATTTTTTTATGATTTTCAATTTTAAGGGAATCAAGACATAATACTAAATCTATAGAATCACAAGGGACTTGATCAAACATACAAATGATTAAATTTCCCTTTTTTTTGGCCCAAAGTGAAGCCCAAGTCAGTTTATTCCCAGGTTTAGCTATAGCAACAACTTGACCGGAAAAAATAATATCTTGATTTGATTCTAAAATAGTTTTAATTAATCTATTCAATACAAAATCTCTTGAATCTGGTGAAATCAAATCTAATAAAGTTAATCTTTTTAAGGAAGTTCTTGAAACACCAAATATTAAACATGCTAAATCATTAGCAGCTTTTAAATTCCATGGATCATTTAATTCACATGTAAACACAGCTTGTGGTGATGTGTTTTTTTGAGGCATTGAGTGGAATATCCGTTCATTTGAATTTCTTCTATCAGGAGAAGGTTGTGGTGATTCTAAAGTTGATTGATTTAATGAAGATAATGCTAAAGTTGATGCATTTTTTTGTAATGAAATTATTGGAGTTGAAACAATAGGTTCATAAAAAGGGGTTGCTAAGGCATGTAATAATTTGATTTTCAGTTGAGATTCTGAATCAGTTCCCAATGATGATTGTTGTTGTTGTTGTTGTGTTGTATTGTCATCTGAAGCATTTGATAAAGATAAATCATGAAGATTCATTGCTAAATCTCTTTTAGAGGATGAACCATCTTCACCAGATTTTAAAGATTTATCTTGTTGTAATATATTTATAAGGGCTTTGATACCTAAATGAGTTGAATCTTGGAAATATGAATGATTATTATTGTTATTTGAAGTTAATGGAGTTGATGGTTTAGAACCATTTGGTGAAAATAAAGCAGCTAATGCAGCAGATGAAGCATTTTGTTGTAAATGAGGTTTATCTAATTCTTCATCATGAATTTGATTAATAAAACTTTCAATATCCAAATTTAAAGAATCATGATGTTGATGTAAATCAGGACGATCAACAAGGATTTCTAAAGATCTCTTGAGGATAGATAATCTAACAGCTAAAGAATTTGGAGATAAATGAGCATAAGAATAAGCATGAGTTGATTCTCTTGGGAATTTTAAAATTTCATTTAAATTTAAAGATAATTTTGATATACCACCTGCATTCATTTGTTTTTTCCTTGAATTTGATCGTATAACTTGTGAAGCCTTTTTAGAAGGTGAAGAAGATCTATTTGGTGAAATGGCGGTTGGTGATATAGCCGCTGTTTTGGATGATGATGTTGATTGATTAGATCTTGGAGGAGTTTTAGGTGCAGTTCTTGATTTGAATTCATTTTTATAATCTTGAGGCAGTTTTAAAGTATCACCTTGTGACTTGGTTTGTTGTTGTTCCAATTGTTTAGCTTGTAATTCGAATTGTTGTTGTAATTTCAATTGTTGTTGTTTTGAACTTAATGGAGTATCTTCATCATTGAATATATAAAAAGAACGATTTTTTTGTTTCTGATTTGTATTATTGTTGTTATTATCCTGGTGTATGATCTTTATAGGAGAAGGATCTTCTTCTTGTTTATTTTGGTTCAATTTAAGAGTAGCACCTTTCCCATTGATGGGACATGCGTAGGGCATATTGTGGAATTATATTGACTTGTACTTGTTGTTTATCTGTTATTTAATGGATATTTGACATGGGACTTTCAATGAGTGGTGATGGTGGTGGCCAATGGATACAAAGAGCAGTGTAGAGAATAGTTTAGAAATAGGGATAATGTCTCTTCTTTATAGATCCAAGTTGAGTAATTGTAGTTGTCTTCCCTGTGTTTTGTCTTTTCCCTATGTCTTTATTTGTTTATAGCCCAAACAATTTTTTTTCGTTTTAGTATGGTAAGTTGAAGGGACACGCACTGAGCCAACAGACCACTGACTACAAACTAAGATTAGGCAGGGGAGGGGGTAGTAATAGATAGTGATAGTAGTATAGTAAGGTAAAGTAGTAGTAGTACACAGTAGATATAATATAGTAATAATAATAGTTGTAGTTGTAAGTGTTCTCTCAATGTACGGTAATTGCCTATTTAAATCAACTCATTTTCCATTTTATTCTCACTGCAATTTTTGAGAAAACGCTAAAAAAAACTAAAAAAACTAAACAGAAAATCAGAAAAGTATCAAAATAAAACCACCCACAAATACTCAAAACAGGAATTCAAAAGAAGATCAACTAGAGACTTTGCTAAAGAAGAACTACAAGTGATAATACAAGTAATTATATACACCAAAGACTAGATACTACAAGTTCTACAAGACTACATCCACATATTCTCACTACGCGAAGCTCTATTAGTTTCACAGGAGCATTGGTGAAAGAGCAAAATAATCAACAAAGAAGAACAATCAACAATCAACAATCAACAATCAACAACATCCAACCAACCAATGGATTGGCGTAACGAGCTCACAAACAACGAGCGTTTCAGATACGTTGGTGTCTTGGTCCAAGCTTTGAAAGAACTAGCTTTAACTGCTAATAATAATAATCCAAATGCTTTTGATTTAAATAAATTGAAAACAAGTGCTGAAGAATTTGAAAAATATTGTTATACAAATGCAAGTAATAGAATTAGTTATGTTCATTTCTTCAAGCAAAAAATTCTAAGTATTAAAAATTCAATTCAACAACAAAATTTACAAAAACAAAATCAACAAAATCCACAAAATCAAATACCCATTCAACAAGGTCAACAACAAGGTGGTCAGCAACCACAACAACAAGGTCAAGGTGGCCAAGGTCAAGGTCAAGGTCAACAAGTCACTCCTCAATTGACAGCCGCTAGCATCAACACAAACAATAATTCTCAAAATCAAGTGTTTTTAGCTCAACAAGCTCAAGCAAGATTAGCTGCTCAACAATTAAGAAATCAACAACCTCAACAATCAACACCTCAAACTCAAAATAATGAATTGAATACTAATATGAATTTCCAAATTCAACAACAACAACAACAACCTCAAGGTCAACAACAACAACCTCAAAGACCAAATCAACAGGGCGCTAGTCAACAAGGTCAAAATAAAGGTCAAAGTCAAGGTCCATCTGTTAATATGAAGTCTATACCAATCCCATTAGCTTTATTACAAAGAATTCCAAATTTACCACCAGGTGTTAATACATGGCAACAAATTTTTGAATTGGTTGCTTCAAGACAATTAGAATCTGAATATATTGGTATTATAAGACAAGTTTATACAATTCATACTCAATTGATTCAAAAACAACATCAACAGTTTCAAAAATCTTTGAATAGTCATGATAGTAAAATGGGTTTAAATGCTCAATTATCAAGACAACAACAAGAATTGAGAAATAGACAATTACAACAACAACAGCAGCAACAACAACAGCAGCAACAACAGCAGCAGCAACAACAATCTCAACCTCAACAACCTCAACAACAAGTACCACCACCACCACCTCAACAACAAGTACCACCTTCACAACCTCAAGCACCACAACAAACACCTGGTTTTGTAAATCCAAATGCTTCACAAATTCCTCAATTAACTCCAGAATTATTACAAAGATTAACTGAAAATGCTTTAAGACTGTTGACTAAATTACAACAAGAAAAACAAATTCCTGATAATTTAACAAATGAACAAAGAAATATGTTTATCAAAAGATATATTTCTCGTCAACAACAACTGAGAATGGAAGCATTTACTAAGCAACAACAACAAAAAGGTGCTGATACAAATGATGGTGTTCCAACAATTATTAATCCTCAAGCTCAATCTCAACAACAGCAGCAGCAGCAGCAAGTTGTTAATCCAACTGGATCAACTCAACAACAAGCACCTATAAATCAAGCTCAAGTTCAAGCAAGATTACAACAAAATGCTCAAAATTTATCAAATGATCAACAACAACAACCACCACAACAAAGATGGAATAATCCAAATCAACCTAATTCTACAACTCCTGCTAATACCAATAATAATATGAGATTGAATAATTTACCAACTGGATTAACTCCAGAACAACAACAACAATTAAATGCTAAAAGACAACAACAAGCTTTACTTCATCAAAAATTACAAGCTCAACAACAGCAAAAGGTTCAACAGCAGCAACAACAATCTCAGCAACAGCAGCAGCAGCAGCAACAACAACAACAACAACAACAACAACAACAACAACAACAACAACAACAACAACAACAACAACAACAACAACAACAACAACAACAACAACAACAACAACAACAACAACAAGTTCCAAGACCTGGTGGTGGGGTTCAAAGTGGTCCTGGTGGTCCTCAAGGTGGTGTTCAAGGTCCTGGGGTTCAAGGTGGTCCTCAAAATCCATTATTAAAAAATAATATTCTGATTCCAACTGAACAAGATCGAATTGAATTAAGAATGATTTTAAATGAAGTTGCAAAAGTTCCAATTAGATTAACAAATTTAACAAATCAATTAACAAATGAACAAAAATCAATTGTTAGTTCTAAAATTCATAATTTATTATTACCATTATTTAATCTTATTGAACAATTAGTTCCAACTTTTTATACTTTAACTAAAAATGTTGATGGTACTAAAAAATTACTACATATGAGATTTATGGTTAAAGAAGTTTTAGATGGTTTAAGAAGAGATGAATATTTTGCTTCACCTGAATTATTAGAAAAAGTTAAAGCTCAATCACAAAAATATGTTTCATTTGTTAAAGAACAAATTAGTCGTAAAAATATTGCAACTGGTGGAGCAACTGGTACTACTACAGGTAATGAAGGTGGTGCTACAAATTCACAAATTAGTGGGAATAATACAACTTCAAGTAATTTCAATAATAATAATGCTGCTTTTAATAATAATCAAGTTGGTAATATTAATCCACAAATTACACCACAACAATTATTACAACAAAGAAAACAACAGCAACAACAACCTGCTCCATTAAATCCACAAATTACTCCTCAACAATTGTTACAACAGCAACAACAGCAGCAACAACAAGCTCAACAACAACAATTGAATCAATTTCAACAACCTCAACCTCAACCATCTCAATTCATTAATAATTTAAATAATGGTTCAAATGATTTTAATCCAATGGAATTAACAAATTTACCAAATAATAATAATGGTAATTTCCAAAATTTAGATATGAATCGTATCAATACACCAGATTTAACTCAAATGAATGTTACACCAAAAGTTGCACAATTAAATGTTAATCAAAATGTTCAAAATCCTTCAAAATTTGTTGCTCCATCACCTGCTTTACCAACAGGAAATTTTGTTAATACACCAAATTTTTCAAATTCTCCACAGTTAATTAATTCACAAATTTATCCACAACAACAACAACAACAAGTTGGTCAACCTCAACCATTTGTTCCACAATCTTCTGTTCCACCTGCTCCAATTTCTGCAAATCCACCTCAACAATCAATGTTGAATGTTTCAAATTCAAATGCTCCAACTCCACAAGCTACAGGAACTTCAACTGGGGCTACAAAGAAACAACCAGCAAAGAGAAAATCTGTTAAAGGTAGAAAACAATCTGCTGCTTCAACTCCATCAAATGCACCAAAGAATGCACCAACTCCAGGTGGATCAAGTTTTAAATCTAATGATGTTCAAACTCCAAGTGGTAATGTTAATAGTCCATTGGGTACTATAGCACCATCAGAAATTCAAAAACAATTGATTAAAAAAGAACAAGAAATTGTTACAAAGGAAGAACAATCTAAAAAACAATTTGAAGATGGACAATCTAAAAGATTAGAATTATATCATTCAAAACCTTTAGATTTTTTTAAAGCTTCATTAGCTAATTTATTGGAATTAAAAGATGAAGAATCAAAAATTTTATCAGATTCTAAGAAAAAAACTAGTGGTGATTTGAAAAATTCTCCTGGTCAAAAAGGTTTAACACCTTCTGCAATTTTACAAACTCCATTAACTTTTTCAAATTCTGCTAAAACTCCAAATTCAACTTCAAAACCAATTTCAAATCCAAATCAAGGAGGTCAAATTCAAGGAAATTCAACTTATCTTTCACCAAATCTTTCACCTTCATCAAGTTTAAAAAATTCAAATAATATATCAGATGGATCAAATTGGAATATAAAAGTTTCTAAAGAAGCTATCAAGTCAACTTTTGCCAATGTTGAAGAAATTAAAAAATTAATGTTTGATGATGAAGATTCAAAAGATATCATACCAACTCCACCACCTGAAGATAAAGAAAAAGAAGAAGCAAAGAAAAGACCTAATGAAGAATTACAAGATGATAGAAAATTTAAAAAAATTAAAATTAATGATGATAATAAATTTTTCGATGAAAATGATGTGGAATTAAATAATGATTTAATGTGGGATTTTGATTATGTTTCAAGTCATTTAGATAATTCTGATGAAATTCAATCTGAATTTTTTTGAAAAAAAAATAATGATAATATAATATTTATTATAAAGTTTTATACCCTTTTTTGTGTTTTAGTGTTTTCCAGTGTTTTAGTGTTTTATTTAAATGTATTTTATTACAATATTAATGATTTTTTATTAAATTAAGTATTAATGTAGCAGCTATACTACATTCATGAATCATAAAAATAATCCAATTATATATTAGCTGATATATAGTGACTAGCTAACCCTTTTGCTCTATTATAGCAGAATTAAAAAAATCCCCATTCAAAAGTTGTTCAAGAGTCAATAAACTTGATGAATCCCCATTAAACTCAAATTGGAAATCATCTTCAATCGTACTTCTTAAACTATGAACTATATTATCATCATTGTAATCATTAATTGATCCAAAGATTGCAAACTCATCAAAAGAACTTGCCCATAATGCCCTTTCTGAACAAACATTCCCCCTTTTCAAAACTTCAATATTTTCAATATATTCAAAAACGGTTTCAAAACTATGGTATTCATACTTTAAAAATCCATTTAGGTTATCTAAATCATTTAATTTTTTTAAACTAAAACCTTGTTCTGCAATTATCTTGTTTAATAAACGTTGTTCAAGATTTTTACGTTCTGGTGAATCTATAGTTAAGAATGCCTTTGTATCATTAATGACTTTATTTCCTTCTTTATGTAAGGATCTTAAATGATATTTATGAGTTATTGAAGATTTAAAAGCTTGGTAATATGAATGACCTAATTTGAATTGTAATAATGTGTTCAAACCTATTGCTGAGCGTAATAGAGTTTTAATTAAATTGTTTAATGTTTTATCTAAACCCGGTGAAGTGGTTTCCCTTTTTAGAATTTGAAAGAATTTTTGAGCTTGATAAAGACGAGTTATAAGTGAGATGAATGCAAATATGACTCTTGATATTGAATTTTCAACTATTGTGTTTAGATAATAATTGAAATTTGGATCAATGTATGGTTTATATGAATCATTTAAATATGATGATAAAATATTTGATAAGTCCACTGAAGTTTGGATATAAAGTTTTGTAAAATGTTGATGTTTAACTAAATTGAAATCTGATTCAAAATGTAAGAAAATACTTTGATAAATCATCAATGATAAAGATTTAACAATGATGTTTTTTTGTAATATTTTGATGTTTTTATAACTTATTTCATCTTCTTTTCCCTGGGTAATAAATGTTAAGCTATTAAGTGGATAATTTATTGCTAAAAACACTTCAAGTTTGTTTAATAAGCTCAAAATATCTGAAATTTTTGTGGTTGAGTTTAAATTATTAACCATTTGAAAGATTTCGATTAATAAAATTTGAAATTTATGATTATTGGCCAATTCATTAAGAATACTGGATTCAATTGGTGAATCATTTTCCAATGGATTTGGAAATCTAAGTTCATAAGAGTCAACATTTTGGATTGAACAAGATTCACCAGATAGTGCAGATATAATTCTATCCATATCTAAAACAGAATGCCACATTTTAGTCCAAATATTCACATATGATGAAGTTTGATTAATTTCAACGTTTGTCTTGATGTCTCTATTTAATCCAATTGAAAAAGCCGATTGAACAATTAGACTTGAAAATACTTGTGAATGATTCAAACCGGGACCATCACCATCTTCTGGTGAAAGATGAATATATATTCTAAGAAGAAATAAACTTTGAACAATTTGTAAATTTGATTTCCTCATAACGTTGAATTGTGATAAGATAGTTCTTGCAATAAATATGAAATGTCCACTAATTGGATGAGTTTTCAATACTGTTTCACTTGGTGATAACGTGGTGTTGATGGTAATATGTGAAAGTCTTAGCATTATTAATAAAGTGGCAGTTAATACCTGATCTAACTTATCTTCAAAATTCAATTTTATACGTGATTCATCATCTGAACTTTGTAAAATTGTATTGAAAATACGTTCAGTGAATTCCTTTTCATCAATTATTGGATACATTGGATGAACATATTTGAAAAATCTTGCAATATATAATTTTATAATTGATCTTGATGGTAATATTCTTTCAATTTCATTCTTAAGATTATTGTTATCAACAGGTTTGAAAACACTTTTAAATGTTGATAATGGGAATAAAGAACCCTTAGAAGCGTTTGTACTAAATTTATCCTCCACAAGTTTTGAAATTATAGGTTTTAATAATGGTGATTCGCTTTCACCCAATAGTTCAAGAATTGATATCAATGAATTATCTAATCTTTTTTCATCACTTTTAACTTTCCGTCTATTTGTAGCACCAAATAAAGATTCACAAAGGAAGAAATAGCCATGAACCAATCCTAAAAATGGATCTTTCTTCGTCATTGAAGATGAAGACAATGGTTTCAAATCTTCCAATCCAGATCTCTTGATATTCAAACTATTATAACTTGTATAGAAATTCAAAGTATCATCATCAAATTTTCTTTTATTTAAACCAATATCTACCTCGAATAAAGATTTCTCAATACCATTAAGTTTATCTTTCAACATTTTAATTTCATCTTTTAATACATAGTCACGATCTGTAGTTGACTCTTTATGATTACTTTGTTGAGAATCTGGGGAAACTTGTGGTAACAATATAGTTTCAGATTTGGCTTCTGCATTCATAACATTGTTGACCCAATGTGGAGCTTCATAACGACATAGATGACCAACATTACATTTTTCACAATTAGAACAACTTGGTCTTTTTTTGTCACATTTGATTTTTCTAGTTTTACAATTCAAACACACCACCGACATCCGTTGTCTCTTCTTTGGAGCTCCATCATGTTCACCAGCACCAGCACCAAAGCTCTCACTCACAAACTGTTGATTCATTTCTCTTGTTTTCATATGAATCTATGAGCCTATTTGCCTCTCAACCTTATAAAAGTGAAGAATATCCAACTAAAGGTGTAATCAACGGTATAAACAATAAACAATAAACGTTCAAAACCGAAATAACTTGAATAAATCCGATAAAAATATTTATGATTACATAAGGATTATATAATACTTTCGCGACCGTAATTTTTTCCTTTTTCTGGCGGTTTTAATTTCTGATGAGCTAAGCTTAGAACCGTTTTTTCACTGTGATCTGGGAAATTGATTTATTGCTTATTTCTGGAGTTGAAGGTATTATTTCTCATTGAAGTTGAGCTTCTGGAAAGATTCATTTGCTTTTTAAAAGGGTTTGTCAGGTTTGTTTAGACTGGCTGTTACTATTTGCAGAGGGAAAAGGGAAGAAATAAACAAGAGATGCCTCGTAAAGCCGTATCAGACTCTGAGACTGATAGCGATGTGCCACTAGCTGGAGGATTCATCAAAGACGATCCAGATCTCAAGAAGAAGAAGAGAACATCCACTGCTGCTACTGGGAACAGAAGAAGATCAGGAAGACTTACTGCATCAAGAAAAACACCGAACTATCTAGAGTCAGATGTCAGTGGCGAATCTGATAATGAAGATTTCCAATTAGATGCTGATAAGGCTGCAGGTGGTAGCAGTACTTTGACAACGCCACCAGATGAAGGTGAAGAAGAAGAGGAAGAAGATGTCAAACCAACAAAGAAAAGAAGAGGTACTAGACAGAGCTCATCAAGTGCAAAGAGAAGGCTCAAACAGATTGAAGATGATTATGATGAATACAATGATGATCGTGATGAAAATTATAAAGGTGCTGATGGTGATGAAGATGATGAAGAAGATGATATAGTGGTGATATCTGGAAGAAGAAAAAACGGCTCCTTCGATCAACCAATAGAACTAGATGATGAACTTGAAGATTTGAAGGATGAAGATTCAGATGCCCCATTAGCTGAAACTAAACCTAAAAAGAAAACAAGAAAACCAGCAACTAGAAAACCAAGAGAGAAAAAACCTAAAGTTCCTTATCATACAAGAATGACACATAAATTATATGAATTCCATCCTGATTTAAAAGATGTTTTCCCATCTTTAGAACTTGCTGAAAAGATAAAACCTGAAAGAGCTGAACAACCCAAAGGTATGAGTATTGATTTATTACCGTTCCAATTAGAAGGTTTAAATTGGCTTGTGAAGCAAGAAAATGGTATTTATAATGGGGGTATCTTAGCAGATGAAATGGGTATGGGTAAAACTATACAAACTATTGCTTTATTCTTGAATGATACATCAAAGAAGCCAAACTTGGTTATTGCACCAACTGTTGCTATAATGCAATGGAAAAATGAAATTGAACAATATGCTGGTGATTCATTAAGTGTTGGTGTTTTCCATGGTAATGCAAGATCAACTGATTTCGATGTTGTACTGACAACTTATGCAGTTTTGGAAAGTGTTTATAGAAAACAACAATATGGGTTTAAGAGGAAACATGGATTAGTTAAAGAAAAATCGTTATTACATCAAACTCAATTCTATAGAGTTATTTTAGATGAAGCTCATAATATCAAAGATCGTCAAAGTAATACAGCAAAAGCTGCAAATAATCTGATGACTCAAAAAAGATGGTGTTTATCTGGTACACCTTTACAAAATCGTATTGGTGAGATGTATTCATTGATTAGATATTTAGATATTGAACCATTTGGACAATATTTTTGTACAAAATGTCCATGTAGGTCAAAAGAGTGGAAATTTACAGATTGGAGACATTGTGATCAATGTGGTCATGTTCCAATGCAACATACAAATTTTTTCAATCATTTTATGTTGAAAAATATTCAAAAATTTGGTATTGAAGGTGAAGGTAAAGTTTCATTTACAAATATTCAATCATTATTGAAAAATATAATGTTAAGAAGAACCAAAGTTGAAAGAGCTGATGATTTAGGTTTACCACCAAGAGTGGAGGAAATTAGAAGAGATTTCTTTAATGAAGAAGAAAAAGATCTTTATCAAAGTTTATATTCTGATTCCAAAAGAAAATTTAATGAATATGTTGCTGAAGGTGTTGTCTTGAATAATTACGCAAATATTTTCACATTAATTACAAGAATGAGACAATTAGCTGATCATCCAGATTTAGTATTGAGAAGAGTTAAAAACAATGCAGATCTATCAACAGAGAATTTAAATGGTGTTATAGTTTGTCAACTTTGTGATGATGAAGCTGAAGATCCAATTGAATCTAAATGTCATCATAAGTTTTGTCGTATGTGTATCAAAGAGTATATGGAAAGTTTTGGAGGTGAAGAGAAAGAATTAGAATGTCCAGTTTGTCATATTGCATTAAGTATTGATCTTTCAGCTCCAGCTATTGAAGTAAATAATGATGATTTCAAAAAAGGTTCAATTGTTAATAGAATTAAAATGGGTGGTGAATGGAGGTCATCTACAAAGATTGAAGCTTTAGTAGAAGAACTTTATAAATTAAGAAGTGATAGACAAACTATTAAATCTATTGTGTTTTCACAATTTACAAGTATGTTAGATTTAATTGAATGGAGATTGAAAAGAGCAGGTTTTCAAACTGTTAAATTACAGGGTTCAATGTCACCTATTCAAAGAGATAATACAATTCGTCATTTTATGGAAAATACAAATGTTGAAGTTTTCTTGGTCAGTTTGAAAGCTGGTGGTGTTGCTTTAAATTTATGTGAAGCTTCACAAGTTTTCTTAATGGATCCTTGGTGGAATCCATCTGTTGAATGGCAAAGTGGTGATAGAGTTCATAGAATTGGTCAATTTAGACCTGTTAAAATTACAAGATTTTGTATTGAAGATAGTATAGAATCAAGAATTATAGAATTACAAGATAAGAAGGCAAATATGATTCATGCTACCATTAACCATGATGATGGTGCAATTAATAGATTAACCCCTGATGATTTACAGTTTTTATTTATGAATTAGAGATTTCATATGTACAAAGGTTAATACACATATAATATATTCGGTTTAATAAATAACAAACTCTACAGAATTGTAACAAAATCTATAAATCAATTTATTTAACGAATATTTTAACTATATGTACAGACGTAATTTATGTTTTTTTTTTACTTCAAATCTATCTAATTTGAACTACCACGAGAACCAGCACCAGATGTAATCAAATCGAGTTGTTCTTTAGTTAACTTAACTTCTGGTAATGGTTCGCCAGCTTTTGATGGTTTTGGTAAGAAACCAACTTTAATCAAGTATGCAACGTAAACGCTTAATTGTTGTTCATCAATACCTCTACCAGCTGACGCATCAACGCCAGTCCATTCAGCATCTGCTTTCAATGAAGTACGAGCATTAACATCATCTAATTCTGGAGCTTTAGTATCTTGTGGTAAATCATCTAAAACAAAATGTAATAATGGATAAAGTGCACTTTCTTGAGTACCTTCCAAAACAAATTTTTCTAATGATGATTTCCAAGTAACATAATCTTCTAATTCAATTTCATAACCATATTTTTTCAATGCACCAACAAATTGAATAAATGTGATACGTGGATGACCAGTAACTTGAACAACAGCTAATTCTTCTGATTTTGGTGGATGTAAGGCAGCTGCAACAACAACTCTTGCAACATGATCAACAGGGACCATATTGATGGTGTTATTAATGTTTGGATATTTACCTAATTCAGCACAACCTTTCAACATACGTAATAAGAAATCATCAGTGTTTGAAGAACCAGTATTAGTTTCACCAGTAACATAACCTGGTCTAATAATAGCACCTTTCAAACCACGTTCACCAGCACGACGGATAATATATTCAGCAGCCCATTTACTTTGACCGTAACCTGAACCTAAACCGTAAGCAGAACCTTGTAAATCATCAGATTCTGGAATACCATCTTTACCTTCAGAAAGTAATTTATCAGATAATTCAACGAAATGTTGAGTATCTAAAGCTGATGTTGAAGAAACAAATGAGAAATACTTAGCCTTACCAGAAGCAGCTAAATTCAAAACGTTGATAGTACCGATAACATTGGCATCACGTAATTTATCATATGGATACACCCAGTGAACTAAAGCACCATTATGAATAATAACATCAATTGTTTCAGTCAAGTTACCCCAAGCTTGGAAATCTAAACCAAATTGTTCTTTTGATAAATCACCTAAAACAACTTCAATTGATGAGGCAAATTCATCTTTCCAATTACCGTAGGTTAAACCAGCTTTTTTCAATCTTTCGAGACCTTTAACTTTATCAGCGGCACGAACATGAGCAAAGATTTTGATGTTTGATTTACGGTTCAATAAATCAGCAATAATGAATGAACCTAAGAACCCAGTAGCACCGGTGACAAAAATGCTGATTTGTTCATTTTTAGAGAAACTTAATCTTGAAGCATATTTTGATTTTAATGCAGTTTCAGTTAATTCTTGAGCATCTTTATAATATTCAGCTGGTTTATTTGCTAAATCCTCATCAGTATTTTCAGCACCACTAGTAGCTGGTAAGGCGACATCATCACCTTTTTGAACACGTTCGATTTCTTTAGCAAAAGCTTTAATGGTTGGGAATTTGAAGATAGTACCTAATGGTAAATCAATAACTAATTGTTTTCTTAATTCAAAAATCATTCTTGTAGCTAAGATTGAATGACCACCTAAATCAAAGAATGAATCTTCTGGTGAAATAGTTGATGGACGTTGAGGTAAGACTGATAACCAAACATCACGAACTTTACCTTCAGTTTCACTGAATTGAGAATCATCTTGGTCGGCACTTGAATGTTTAGCAACAGCTTCTAGTTGTGCAGTGGTTGGGAATGGTAATTTTGGTTTATCAACTTTACCATTTGGATTTAATGGTAATTTATGGAATGGAACAATAATTGTTGGGATAGCATATGAAGCTAATCTTTTTTTCAAAAATGCCTTGATATCTTTAATTAATAAACGATAACCAACTAATCCACTAACAACGTGATCATCTTTATTTTCTAATTCTTCAACTGATGATTTGAAATTTTCTAAATCAGCAACTTCAGTTTTTGGAACAATATAAGAAATTAAAGTTGGTTCATTATTAGCATCTTTACGAACTAATGTAACATTCTCACGAACTAAAGGATGTTGAGAAATATTTGTATCAATTTCACCTAATTCAATACGGAACCCACGAATTTTGACTTGATCATCAGCTCTACCACAACATTCAGTATTACCATCTGGTAAATAACGACCTAAATCACCAGTTCTGTATAATCTATCTCTTGGACCTTTCCAAAATTCTCTCCATGGTTCATTTTGACTTTTTTGATTATCTTGATCAATCCATTGTTGAGCATCAACATACCAATTTTTGACGAATTTTTGTTCATTTAATTCAGGTAATCCACGATAACCTTCAGCTAAACCAGCAGCACGAACATAAATTTCACCAACTTCACCAACACCACATGTTTGAGAAGTATCATTTCTATTAACAACTAATAATTGAACATTCAACATACCTTTACCAGCTGGCATGACATCTTTTTGAGATTCTAAAAATGTTGAATCATGAGCTCTTGAAGCAACTTCAAAATATGAAACAGCTCTTTGAGTTTCAGTAGTACCATACATATTGACAATGAAAACATTTTTAGCTAATGTTTGTAATCTTAAACAATCTCTTTTGGTCAAGATATCACCTACAAAGAAAGCATGATGTAATGATGGAATTTCAGATGTAGCTTGAGCTGATAATAATTGACCCATAGCTGGAGTTAAATGAGTAACAGTAGCACCGTATTTACCCATCCATTCAGCTAATTTACCTGGGGTACCGATATCATCAGCAGTTGGAACTAATAATTGAGCACCCAAGAAGATTGGTGTAAACATATCTCTTTGAATAGGATCATGTGCAATACCTGAAAGCATAGTGAATTTATCATCAGAGTTTAATTTAAAAGTCTTGGACATCCAATCGAAATAATAAGCTAAAGAGAAATGTCTACCCAAGACACCTTTTGGTAAACCTTCAGAACCTGATGTGAAAGATAATGTTGGGTTTGAATCTGGACCAACCAAAACACCAGTTGAACTTGTTGAAACACCAGCTAAGACATCTTCACCTTCCAAGTTTTTACCACCGAGGACTGAACCATCATCTTGTAATTCAATTTGAGGAACACGAGAAACAACATCTAATTCATCTTTGATGTAATTTTCAACAAGTTCATCCAAGACACCAGCTTTTTTGATGACGATTAAACCTTTTGGTTTAGCAACTTGTAAATAAATATTTTGACGAGCTGGAGGATAAGCTGGATCAATAACGGAGAAAGTAGCACCGGCTTTTAAAACACCGAGAACTGAAACCATTAAATCAACACCTCTTGAAGAATAAATCATAACAACATCACCTCTTTTGATACCAGTTTTAACTAAATAGTTACCAACAATGTTTGAAGCTTCATTGATATGTTTATAAGTAAAGACTCTAGCTTGTTTTTCTGGTGTTAAGAAACTTGGAGTTTCCACAACACAAGTACGTTCTGGGAATTTAGCTGCATTTTCTTGGAAAATATCATGGATAGCACCTCTATAACCAGACCAATCTAAATCAGTTGTTGGATCTGGTAAGATTTGTTTTTGAGATTTGGTGATTAAATTTATTTTAGTAACTTGTAATGAAGAATCTTGGGCGACAGCTTCCAAAAATTGGTTAAATTGTTCAGCCAAAATTGAAATACGATCATCTTTGTATAATAAAGCATTAAAATAGACATCATAAGAATCATCATTGACAAAGATTGATAAATCTCTAATTGAACCATATTCAGATAATTGTTGATGAGCATTACCATATTGGAAACTTAATCTGAATAAAGAAGGTTTAGTTTCATAACCGTTTTCTTTTTGGATCAATGCAGATAATTCATCATAATCAACAGCTCTATTGACATTGTCATTATATAATTTTGTAATTTGTTCAACTAATTCCACAAATGAAACAGTTGGACTAATGGTTAATCTAATGACAAATTCTTTACCGCCATTTGGAGAGTCGGTGGAGATAACAATGTCATCATCACCAGTTAGTCTATAGATCAAAACTGCAAAGACTGAAAGACCAATGATGAATTCATTTGAACCTTCAACTTTCGATATTATAGATTGTGATAATGCTTTTGCTGGAATTGAAAAATTGTGTTTAGCTTCAACAACTTTGTTGTTAGAAGGACGAATGAAATCATGAGGTAATACTGAGAGAGTTGGACTACTCAATATTTGAGCCCAATGTTGTAAATCTGAAGACATTTTTGAATAAAATGTATCTATATCAATTGGAAATGTTAGTACAAGAGATCCTTGTGAAATGGATGAAATTTACACCAATGATCCTCGAAACAAAGCACAATGGTGATAATTCCTGATACAATACCACTTTTACTCACTTTAAACCAAGATAAAACCTTGCTTGAACTCTTACCACTTAGTTAACAATATCAAATACAATCAAAATCTTTCATCAAAAACATTATGACTGATAATCTCAAAAAATCGGTCGGAAATCGGCTGTCAAAAAAAAAACTCTAGAAAACCGGGAGTTCCGATCTTTAAAAATGGTCGGATCTCGATTTGCTCACCAAAAAAAGTGGAAAGAATCAGAAAAAAGCGCTGGAATAATAGAGACGTGACAATTTTGGTGGATCAAACAACGGTGAATTCTGTGTTGAATAGTTGGTAATTGTGCTGTTTTTTAATTGTTTTTGAATTCTACGTGTTCAATAGTCTATCCGCTGGTTTTCTTACAAGTCCAAAACGTTCCAATTGAGTGAGAAAAGTGCTTCGATAAACACACAGTTTCATATCATATACAGATTTAAACAAAGATTTAACAATGTCACAAAGAAAATTATTACAAGAGATTGATAAAGTCTTCAAGAAAGTTAAAGAAGGTCTAGAGATCTTTGATGGCTACTATGACAAGCTTCAAAATTGTGAAAGTCAGTCTCAAAAGGAAAAAATTGAAGGTGATTTGAAAAGAGAAATCAAGAAATTACAAAGACAAAGAGATCAAATAAAGAATTGGTTAAGTGGTAATGATGTTAAAGATAAGAATAATTTATTGGAAAATAGAAGATTGATTGAAAATGCCATGGAAAGATTCAAAACTGTGGAAAAGGATATGAAAACTAAAGCTTTCTCCAAAGAAGGTTTAAGTATGCAAAGAATAGATCCAAAAGAGAAGGAAAAAAATGAACAAGCTGATTTCATACATTCACAATTGGAAGAATTACAATTACAAAGTGAAAAGCATGAAGCAACAATTGATCAAATTCATAATTCTGTTAAAAAGGGTAAAAAATTAGATAATTCTAAACAACAAGAAATTGAAAGTCTAAATGAATTAATATCAAGAAATAAATGGCATTCAGAGAAAATGGAATTAATCTTAAGATTATTAGAAAATGATGATATTGAATCAGAGCAAGTTGCTACATTACAAGAAGATATTAAATATTATGTTGAAAATAATGAAGATGTTGATTTTATTGAAGATGAAGGTATTTATGATGAATTGGGATTAGAAGATATTGAAGATATTTATGGTCATATTGGTGATTATCCACATGCTGAAGATGTTGATCACGATCATGGATCATCACCAATTCAACAACATCATACACCTCAAAAGAAATCATCAATTAGCGCACAACCAAGTGCTCCTTCAACTGCCAACACGACAACAACAACAAACAACAACCACAACAACAATCATAACACTAACAATAGTCATGGTTTACCTGCTTCTCAATCAACAGCAGCTCCAAGTACTAATTTGCATAATAATGGTCCTATAAAACCACCAGGATTATCAAATACAAATATTAATGTTCCATCTCCAAGAAGTACAACTCCAGGATTAATAAGTTTAAAACCATCAGTTGCACCAGTGAAAACGGATTTGAAGTATTCATCAGTTCTGTCAGCTGGTGTTAACTCAAACAATAATACACCAACAAATCCATCAGCAAATATTGCATCAACAACAAGTACTACTGCTTCTCCTTCCACCAATACAAATAATATTAATACACCACCTGCATCAAAAATCAACTTGAATACTAGTAATACAGCTACTACACCATCACAAGCACCACCTGGATTAAGTAAAACAAATACAAATATTACAAATGATAGTAGAGAAGGTACACAATCTCCAATATTAATACCAAATGGTTTCCAAGATTTACTTTCATCATTTGAAAAAACCAAAAATTTAATTATAAATCCTGTGCCTTTCCAAAAAATTTCTAAAATCTTAGAAACTTCTTTACTGAATTGTCCAGATTCTTTAGATTCTGATAAACCAAAAAATTATATTCCAAATAATCCACATCCAACATCAATTTATTATCCTCAAGAACCATTAGCAGAATTAAATTATTCCATAATTGTTAAGAAATTAGATGAATCAACATTATTTTATAATTTTTATTTTGATCAAGGTAAATATATTCAAATTCAAAATGCTCAAGAATTAGTTAAAAGAGGTTGGATTTTCAATAAGATAAATAAAAAATGGTGGAAAAAATTTGAAGACATTCAACCACCTCCAACTCCTTTATCAAATGGTAATAGTAATCAAGAATCATCACAAGCTGAAAAAAAATTTTTTTGGAAATATTTTGATTATGAAGATACTTGGTTATCACGTCGTAAAGATGATTTTAAACCAAATTCTGAAGAATTGGTCACTGAATTTTGAAAAAAAATAATTGTCTACTAATATCAAAAAGGGTTGTTACTTAAAAGGTAATGGTTCTTCAAGCATTTGCTCATTTTCATGATTCTTAATTATTTGTGTTTTATATATACTAGTACATAGAATATAACGTTTTGAAGCTAAAAAGATTACAGATGTATTTAAATTTTATATGGATTGAGTACTATTGATCAGCCGTTTAGAATAATCAGTAATCTTTATCTTAGAAAGTCCCCAATTAATAAAAAAAAATTTATCGTTACAAATTATTATATTCCTTGCTTCTAAATCATTATGAACAATTCCCAATTTTGCCAACACCACTAATTGTCTATTACATTTTTCTAAGAATTGATCATTTGAATATAGCCCAGCAGTAAGATCATCTTCTATCTTTTCCATCAATATTGCATAACCATAAAGAGCTGAGACCCCATTTAAATCATTCAAGTTTAATATAAATGAATTGTAAATCACTGGGGTATTAATTATTGAATCACAATCTTTGGCTTTTATACATGATTCATTATGCAGTTTGATTAATTCAAGTGATTGGACCTCTTGCTTAAAATGTTTGAATCTTGAAGCATCTAATCGCTTATAAAATTGAAATAAATCCATATCGTAAACTTTAAGAACCATCTCTTTATCCAATGATATATTTTTGATATCAAGATTTAGTGATTCCTTTATATCTCTATATAAAACTGAGAACACTTGACTTTTAAGCTTTGGACCACTTTGAATAGCTTGATTGGATAGCCCATTGGGGAATATACTAGAAACAGTAGTTGAAAACTCTTCAATTCCTGTTTTTGAACTATTGATTAAAGATATTTTCTCCCTTGATTTCATTAGCCTATTTACAGTTCTCTTTTGTATTGAATTTTTAGTTTTATCATCATCATTTAAATAAAATTTTGTGTCAAACTGTTCCTTTGTATGAGTTTTCTCCATTGAATCAATGTCTTCATAAACTTGTTTGAATAAATAAACTAAAGCCCAACCAATAGTCAAATATTGATCATCAATATCAATTATCCGGTATTTCAAATTCAAATCAATAACATTTGTTTCACTAATAGTAGCAGGTAAACTTTTATCAAGATCAATTTCAATGATAATCCATGATGACCAATTTGTTAAGACACCAGTAGTTGAATTTGATTCATGACAATATGTAACCAATTGTCTTAGAATATTCCCCATTGTTTCCATATGATCGTCTTCTAGATACAATTGATTTTCTGGATTATTATTGATGAACTTTAGAAACGTTTCTTTCAAAAGTTTAGTTCTACTGCATTGGATGATCAAACGATTATCATTGGTTTTTTTGCTAAAAAAAAATTCTGATCGTACTAAAATGTCTATTTCTGTTGGACCAAAGTTGATGAAATTTGTAGATGATGATTCTGAACCCCTGATACCATGATGATCTAATTTGCTAACTGGTCCACTTTCACTATACCTGATTGCTGAAGGTGTAGCACGTTTGATAAATAAGCCATCATATGTTCCATCTAATTCTGACATGGCCCAATTGATTCTCTCACACAATTCAAGAACTTTATCTGCAACATGGAGATATTTGGAAATTGGAAAATGAAATTTATTTTGTAAAAGATCTGATAATTCTGTAATCTTTTCATTTGTATTCAACAATTTGAAATGTTCATCCAAATATGTTTCTTTTTGAATATCTTTTTTGTGCCTTTCAATACGACTGAGATCAAAAGCATATATCGAATGAGCCCACAAGAATGAAGATAACACTGAATCAATTTTTAAGATATTCTTCTCACCAGATTCAATTACATTTGCCACATAATTACAATCATGTCTGAATTTTTCAATAGGTATTTCTGAACATTTCGAAATTACAATTTCTTTATGTAAACCTAATAATGTATTTTTTCTAAATGGCTGGTATAGATTAAAACATTCTTTAATGATGTTGTTCTTATAGCATAATTACTTAGCTTCTTCTTTTACAAAACATTTTCCAATCAAATCATTCAAAAACAAGTTTTGAGGATCCATTAATGGATTTATCAATGGCTCCGGTCTTGACATTGATAAATTGAACCAATTGAGTTTATGAAAAATGCTTTCTTCAAAAGATAATATATCATCACCATTTTTTAAAGCATCAACAATGTGATTTGGAATTTTTAATAGCTTACCAATTTCCTTAATTTGACGAATGTATGTTTCATTATCATTAAAACCATTTGATGTATCATTAGCCTCTTTAATCATATCAAAGCTAAGTGAAAATACATCATTTTGGTAATTTTGACATAATGTTTTGATTCTATTCCTTCTTTCTGATTCCAGTTCTAAGGTTTGGTCATTCTTATTCATGTTTGGATATGTTTTCAACAATTACGATCACTATTTAACCACTAGTAGAGTAATATTCAGGTATAGCTTATAAAGTTTCAGTTTTAAATATCGAATTAATATATACTTCTCAAATATATATAACTTCTCATGTAATGATTACATAATCATAATGAGCTCATACAACTAATTATCTAGTTTGATTCATTTATTCTATACCATTCCTCTAATTCTATACAGCATTGCATCGACAATTACTTAATATTTATACTATAGTATACCAGACCATCTGATTATAATTCAACATCTAATTCTTGTTTTAAAAATTCTTCACTAAAATATGAACATTGTTGAAAATTATATTCAAACCCATCAATCCCACCATAATAAGGATCATCCACTATAGTTTTAAATTTCCCATCTGTATTCCAATCCCCAAATAATCTAGCTTCATTTTTGGTACTTGTCTTGGATCTAATTCTTTCATTCAAATTATATAAATTTGATTCATCCATACAAATAACATAATCAAATTCATTGAAAAATTTTGGTTCAAAATGTTTAGCATGATGATTCACAGGGACACCATGTTTTTTACAAGTTTGAGAAGATCTAAAATCTGGATCATCACCAACATGATATGAAGAAGTACCAAATGAATCAATCTTATTGAAGAATTTTGATAAACCTAATGTTTTAACTTTATGAGTGAAAATGGCTTCAGCCATTGGAGAACGACAAATATTACCTAGACAGACGAATGCAACTGATATTTGTTTTGTTTCTTTTTTAGTCATTATATGGAGTGTGTTGTATATGATGTATCGTATGGATAATGGTAATGGTTGAAAATGTCTTTTGAGAAATTTGTGTCAATTTATATACTTATTCAAATTCTCGGATCTTCCTTTTCCTGTTACGTAATTGAAAAGGAAAGAAAAGAAAAACATCAACAAAAATTGAAAAAATCAAATCATTCAAACCAACTTCAATGTGTTTTTAATAACCCATTGTTAAATCCTTCTGCCTGGTTATTAGTGGCTATATCACCCCCTTGTTGTTAAAATATTTGTGTCTCGAACTAGAAGTGAAGGTTTTGTTTTGTTTTGTGCATATTAATATACTACAGATGATTTAGTTAACCAATTGGATTCATGATCTGTATGAGTATATCACCGTCAAAAGATGACTTTTGTTCGTTGTTGAATGTGGAAATGATTCGTTCACGCGTTCAAATTGATTTGTCTTTTAATACACATTTTGTTTTTTCGAATTTTGACTGATTCATTGTACAATTAGCCGCTGAGATTTGGTTTGTTTATAAAGGACTGGATTCCCTTGTTTTTAGTTCTAAGCGCTGTCATTGTTTATTCGTCAGATGTTGGTATAGGAAATGGTGGATCAAGAAGAAGAAGGGGATATTTATGATAAGATTTGTTCATTACTTGAAGAGAATAAAGATCAACTTGAAATATATGTTGATAGAGAATTGAACTTATCATCATTAGATATCAATTTTAATGGGTTTTGGTTATTCTTGAATGAATCTGATAGGAATCTCGTTGCCACTCATTTCAATTTTGATATCTTAGTCCATATCTTTGAAATATGTCTAGACTTGAAAGGTTCTAGGGATAGCATCTCATCTAAATCATTATCAAATTATGCTAAAATCATCTTTCTAAGAAAATCTGGTCCTTGTGATGTTATCCCATTGATTGATCCTCGTGATAAAGATGAATTCACTAATGAGAAGAACTATACCTTCTTGAATAAAATCAATCAAATCTTACCATCAAGAAATTGTACATTTATGAATATTAATATGCTAATGGACAATTTCAGACAAGTTGAAGCACAATTCATTCATAACCTTTCCAAACATGAGGATCCATATACTCTTCATCATCAAATTCAATCAGTTGTGAGAAATTTATCAACTGATAAATATGGTTTACGTCATAGGGGGATTCGTTATAATAATAGAGAATTATATGGTGAAAGATATTATGGTCAACAATTTCGTTATATGGAAGATTTCAAAAAATATTATATAAATCCAATATTTACATTATGGGATGAAGCTAATATGGATTATCAAATTGAAGTTTTAAATAATTCTCAAAGTTTCCATACTCCAACAGTACGTATAGTGACTGATGATACTAGAATTACAAGTACATATGGTTATATGATGATGTGATTATTTATGTTCTGTTACGAATGGAACCTCAAATGAGCATAGGAGAAATTTTAGATTCCCTATCAAAATAACAATCCCCAAGAATCAAGATGATTCAATTTTTAATTTTATAAATTATAATAGTTCTAATCACATTGATTTTAATTCCCCAGCAATTCGTGAATGTTTAACAAATATTTTTGCACAAATGATTGTAAATCATTCATCAATAGGTGTTTTATCAGATACAAAGAGGACTTTATTCATAAAATTTCCAAGAAAACCTAAATTATGTTCAACAAATAATGATTTAACTACAGTGGAATTCCAATATTTATTTTTTAACGATGAGAAATGTCAAATTAATTCTCGATTTATTCAGGATAGATTTACAAGTCAAATGATGCTATTCACCTTTTTTGTGAAGGATTCCATGTACAATGGAGGTAATGTATTGAATGTATTACTTGCATCACGTAAATTGAACTATAGAGACCCTGGTGAATCACAATTGAGATTAATTAAAAATGTCACTGAAATGAATTCAATCTTGAAATTAAACACTGAATTTTTTAAAAATGATCCAATTGAACTGGACTTATTGAAATGTTACCAATCAATGTTTGATAATTTAAAAAATCATGGTATACATGCTGAGATCCCAATTGCTTCATATTTTCATAAAGAGTTTCTTAAAGCTGATCCATGTGTATCAATAATTGCAAATAGTAATGAATTATACAGAATTTTCCCCAATCCAGAGATCTTAAAGTATAAACATGTTATATTAAATATATTTGATATTGAAAAACATGTAAAAGTTTGGTCAAATACAATGAGATCTAAAGAAAATGCTAATCATGAACATTTAGAAAAAATTGCCAACTTCTCAAATTTTTATGATATGATTACAAGACCAACTTTTTTCAAAGAAGCTTGGATAATGACTTATATTAACTATAAAAATTCACAAATATCTAATTCAGATAATCCAGATCAAAGAGCAATAATAAATTACCCTAAATTAATAGAAGCTGGAAATTTAAAAAGTTATCATTTGAAAGGATTTTATCATATTAAAGAATTCATAAGTCATCCATGGTCACTGAATGGTCCATTAACTGAAGAATTAAAAGACAAAAGTATTGATGCAGCTTTAAAACAATCAGAATCATTAAAAAAAATTGGTATTAAAATTAAAGAAATTGAGAGATTTCAATATGATTCATCAAATGATAAATTTTATTTTTTATGGAATGCAAGAGAAATTGGTATTATGAAACCAGATGATATTGAAATTTTAGACTTCTATGGTTTGAAGACTGCACTATTTAACGGATGATCAAATATGGACTAAAGATATCATATATATTATCATATAGCCATAGTAACACTAATCACAATTACACTTTTATTACTTTATGATTCCAATTGACCTTAATTAACGTCATGTAGGTTGTAGTTTTAGTATTATTGATTTCATAAAGTACATTCATCTCAGTATTAAGAGGCGTCAATTCATGAATGTTATGTAAAAAACTATTGGTTAAATATCTTTATAAATTATCAATTGGCTGTTAGTCATGAAAGTCAATTTAATCATTCATGTCCAACTTTTTAGTCAGCTACCTTTCTAAGAACAACCATTTGAGGTTCAGGTTGAATTGCAGTAAGATGACCACAATGATCCGCAAGACATCTCCCATTCGATCTAGACCCATGGAAACCAGTAATGGTAACTGAAACATCTATATATTTATCATCAGTAGTTGAGAATGGTCTTGTTATGTTATCAATAAATAACTTAACAGAATTTCTATCCTGTAAAAATTTTCTTTTGAAAACTTGAAGATCAAATTTGTGATTTATACGATCAAGGTTCCTGTATCTTGCATGATCATGAAGAATAAATTCCATGAATTCTGTATCTTCTGTGGGATCCTTATAAATCATTATATCCTCCCTTCTTCCTTTTAATATTGAGTTTAATATTCTATTAAAATAGCTTAATTCAATATCATAATTTGGATTAGTAAATTCAAAAAAGTCATCATCAGCATCTGTCCATCTTTTTTCTTTTTGAAAACAAGGTTGAACTTCATCATTTTTTTCACATACACTAGCTTCATCATGAGTTTTATCTGTTTTAAATTCATGTAATACATGAATCAAAGAAGCAAATGAACTTACCAATGTAAAACTTTCAACTTCAACATTTTGAAAACCACTATAAACTTTTCTGTAGTCATCATATAACTCTGAAGCACCTTCTTTTGTCATAAAATCCTGTGGTGCAAAAATATCAATAGAAAGCTGCTCGGTATATTTGCGCATTAAGGAATTCTCTATCTTATTCAAAGCTGCCAATTTAAGAATAGATTCATGATTTTTAACATATGTAATAGGAAATCCATTAAATTTGGATTTCAAGTTTTCAAGTCTATGCTTTCTCTCCGGTGAGCTTGGATACAAATCAAGAGTTTCGTATTTATTATTGGCTAAATCTTGATATCTATCATATCTTTCTTGACAATATAACAACCCTTTGCTATATGATGGTCCCTCTTTGAAAAATGCACCTTCATCTCTATTTATTATAAATGTATCTCTAATTGTGACTATACCATAAATATTGGTGTATAAATATGGACCTATAATGTCTATCCAATAACTGTTATAAAACATACCAGCGCTTTGTTTTGAAGTAATATTTGCTTCTTTGATAATTATAAGCCAAATCTCAACAGGGAAAGGTCCTAATAATGATGGGTTATCACCAAGACTGAATAATTCAAATCCCCTTTCTCTATATAAGTTCTTCTTCAAGAATTTGGATACTTTGGTAACAGCGCAAGAAACCAAACTTAAGAACTTTTGGTTAGACTTATTAACCACATATCTAACTGGATAAATAAACTTGAGCTTGGTATTCCAGATAGAATGTTTAGCTTTAATTTTCAAATGAGCCATCATTTGAGCAATATGTATATTTGAACGTTTAACAAAAAAAGAAGTTGAATATTTCTCATATGGCATCAAATCAAAAATTCCTTTATATTTATGAATGACATTATCAATTGTAGGAGACAATTCTAAACCTTTAACAGAGTCACCAACTATTTGTCTTGCAATTATTGGATATCGTTCTTCAAACCTTCTCAAAGGTCCAAGTCCATAGAAGCCTAAAAGGAGTTTTGTGAATTTCCCATGTCTTAATGTATCATTATTAGAAAGTAAAACGTGTGATAGGTATCCTTTTTTAAAAGTTTTTTGAAATTCAATTGTAAAGGTTTTTTCATTTTGTTTCTCTAAAAGCCAAATTTGTAATTCAAGTATTAATTCTGGCGGAATATAATTCTCGTCGTCTGAGTTCATTCTTATAATGTATAATCTAGTTATGCAATAGTAATGAATTTATGTTGTAATTATTTGATATACTAGTGTTGATTGATGTATAATGATGAAGAGCTTTGAAATTTTGTTTACATAACATCACAACTGGTCAGCCTATATGAACAGATAATTTATCTTTGAGTTGCGTAAATTTCTTGTCCTTAATTGACGTCAAACATTGTGCACCCCAGTATTGAGCATGATTTGAGGTTATATCCTGAGAAAAATTTTGAGGAAGTCAACAGATAGTTTGTTGAAATATTAGATTATAGAGTTTGGACGTAATTGATCTGATTCATATTTGGATTGATAATATTGCAATTATAATGAAATATTGAAATTCATACCAATAAAATTCATACCAATATGTCACTTTCAAAATCGTAATTTATATAATCTTTTCCAATTTCATTCTTTATACTGCTCAAATATAGGAGCTTGAAAAATACTTTTAATGATTTTGATGATATTATTCCACTGTGTTAAATACAAAAGGATGCAATAAATATGTTTTGATACCACCTGTGGTTATGTAATCAATCATTTTGCTGTGTAAATTAATTTGAGTTAATTGTCTACATGACTTTTTAAATATAAGGACAGCTAGTAAAATTAATTTTTCTTTATGAAATTAATATATATATAATATTATAATATATATAATTAATATTATATATATAATCATATATATATATATATTTAAATGAAAAATTAATTTAATTTTTTCATGAATTTATTAATTTTCGTTAATTCTAAGTCTTCAAAAAAATTTAAAGGTCCATTTTTTTTTGAACTCAAAAAAACTAAAATTTAAAATTTTTCAAATACTTATAATAAACAATACCATTGAATAGAGAAACGTTTATAGATTATTATTAGCTTTTCTCCAATACTAGTTTATTGTTTTGTTGTTGTTCCAAGGACATTTTAAACATTTCGAATTATGTAATCAATTACTTTGGTATATGCTTGAATCAAGCACTATATAACTGCTTCATGAATAATGAATTTATCAACCCCAAAGGGAATGATATAACACAGCTGTGATATGTATATAGAGAGAAAATGTTTTAGTCTTTCAATAAAATCGTGCAGAGTGCAGACAGAACATCCAACAACAATAAAAGAAATAAGAAATACCAATATAGAATATAAAAGACGACTCATCGAAGGGAGAATAGATCTATAAGCCAAATGAGCAAATAATCACTTAACCTACAGCTGAATTATCTGAAAATATACCATAAAACTCTTGTATCTTTAAGATCTAACTATATATCGTACCTTGTAAGCAAAAACACTTATAGGGTAAACAGTAAACAGCATTGCAATTTAAAAGGTTAATAGTGTATGTTCTGAAAAAAGTAATAAAATATATACAAGAATACAGCCTATTTAATGATCATATTGGGAAATGAGTATCCAATTCACAATTGTAAATAACATCAGATTTATATTTTTGCATCATTTCAGATTGTGGAATCTGATCATAATGGATATCATCAGAAACATTAATGAATTGATCATGCTTACCAGAAACTCTTTTCAAGAAAGATGAACAACCAGCACCTGGTCTACCTGAAACCAAACACATTTCACCAGGTTTAACAACAACTTTAACATCTTGAATGATATTTGTATGAAATTTAGAATCCCCAATGGATTTCACATGTTCATAAACTGCGAGTGGAGCAAGTAACAAGTTTCCATCAGTTGGAGCATATGAATTTGCAGCATCAATACCTGTAGTGGTGACATTCTAGAGAAAGCCACACCATGTTTGCTTAAAACAAAAACACAACAGTATAACAGATATGTTAAAATTTAATATACAGAAATTTATCAAAAATCAAATAAGAATGATAAATTTTAAATTTAAGCACCGAAAACATCTTCCAAAAATGCAGCTTCTTCGGCAAGATTAAATACTTTTAGTACCAGCTGCAACTGAAGCAGATGGATCTCTACCAGCATAACGGAATTTCTTATCACTATGTTCAGTTTCTTGTAAGACAGTTTCTAATATTGGTTGAGCATAAGACCAACCACCCATATTTAATGGTTCTTCTTGACACCAAACTAAATCTTCAACATTCTTATAAGAATTCAAAGCACCACGTAATTGAGCAAATGGGAATGGATGTAATTGTTCAACTCTAATGAATGCAGTTGTATTATCACCTAAGGTTTCACGTTTCTTGGTTAATGCAGTGAAAACTTGACCACTTAAAACAACGACACGTTTAATATCATCTTTGTTGGTGTTGTTTTCTTCAATGATCCATTGGAAATGAGATTCACCAGTGAAATCACTTAATCTATACTATATATTATATACTATATAAAGGTATAGTATTATACTATATACAATATAAAGGCATATATATACTATAATATACACTATACTATATATACTATATAAAGGTATATGGAGATCTAGCTAATGGATGACGAAACAATTGTTTGGAAACGAGAATAACCAATGGTTTTCTGAATTGACGATGCATTTGTCTTCTATAAAGATGGAATAAATTAGCTGGTGTAGTTGGATAAGCAACTTGGAAATTACAATCTTGATGTTGACGTTGTAATTTATCTTCTGATGGGAAAAACCTTGGATCTTCATTTGTTAATTGTAAATATCTTTCTAATCTACCAGATGAATGTTCTGGACCTTGACCATCATAACCATGAGGTAAAGTTAAAACTAACCCTGATCTTTGTTTCCATTTTGATTCACCAGCTGCAATGAATTGATCAATAATAACTTGAGCGGTATTTGCAAAATCACCAAATTTTAGCATCCCATTGAACAAAAGCATCTGGTGAGGTAAACAAGTAACTATATTTGAAACCCTTAACACCATATTCTGATGATGAGGAGTTTGAAATGATAAAATCAGCTTGATTTTCACTGATATGTTTTAATGGTGTATAAGTTTGTTCTGATTATTGATCATGTAAAACTGAATGACGTTGTGAATAGGTACCTCTTTCAACATCTTGACCTGAAACTCTAACATGGTATCCCCCTTTAACAAATTGTTCTAAGCATCAACGACATATGTTGAGTAAATCCTGATACACCATCTTCACAACCCCAATAGTGTTCAATAGCTGATAAAACCACCAAACTTCTAAACTGTATCATGGAGCTCTTCAATGGAATGATTAATAAATACAAACTAAAATCCCCCTAAAAAACTAATCCAACAACAAGCAATCAAAGATGAACATTCAACACAAAGGACTTTCCAATAAAAGGAAAAGTAACCAAAAATTCTCAAACAAATATCAAACCCATTTTAAAACACAAAAACCCAACACTACCGTAGTAAACATCTTGATTAATCAGATCTTGGAGCTCTATGATTTGTAACACATGGACATGGAATAACCAGGATTTAACAGCAATTCAGAGCATTATAAAAGTATAGTTGGTGTGGTGGTTTGAATTTGCGTAAATTTGTGGATTTTTTTGATCTTTTTGTGGTTTTTGTGTTCTTTTGACGTACAGCAACAAATTGTAGTAACCAGAATATTCCCATCTATATTCCCATCTTCTGGTAATCAAACTCGCGACTTCAACTGCAAACACGTAGTAAAGCGGCCTTATGCTGCTCCTTAGAGGTTAAATATATACGCAGGTTTTTTACTTTCTACCTTGTTTTTGTACATGATGACGCGAATTTTTGAAAACAAACCTTCAAAAGAAGGAAGTATCGTATACGGTGCTCTAACGATCGCTGCTTTATCAACAAAATTAATCTACAAAGAGTGGCTAATGTTGAGGTGTTAATGGACGCTCTGTTGGGAATCGGCTTTAGGTTTTGTTGCCTCAATTTCATTTGGTTATCTGGTATAAATGTGGGAATCTGGGTTGACATGGTAAATTAATTTCAGTTTTGTGTCACAGTATTAACTCAATCAAATTAATTACATGCATATCAAATGACGTTCTAGAACGTATTACACAAATAGAAGTCTGGTTATAGTTTTTTTTAGGTCTGTTGCTTTTGTGACACAATTATTTTTTTTGTGTTTTGTGTTTATAGGGTTTGTGTTTTCCAAAATCTGGAAAAGTATAAAGACATCATAATTTCCCCTTTTTTTTTTATTTCTATTTTCTAATTGTTTTTTCATTTTTTGACCCAATATTGGTTTTTTCATAATGTTTGTTGATGATTATTCAGGGGTTGAATCTCCGTTATGAGTTCTAGTCGTGAGCCATAGCTCCAGAGGTTACCTGTTTTATTGGTATTAGAAGGTTTCGACGTGTTTTTTAGATCTTCAAGCCAGATGTGTATCATCCCCTTATATGAGTTGATTATGGTTATGTGATTTAGTTTCAACCTTGTCATTTAAGATATAGACTTTTTAGAAGTATTATATTTTGCTTTAGGAAATTACTTCTTTTCATCCAGTCTTGGTTATTTCATTACAGGTTGTTAAAGTATTAGATGATTGATGAAGATGTCACATTGAGCGATTCTTGGGTGTGCCGGCCTGGGTTTTGTAATTTGTGGTTCAGATTCATGACTCTTTTATGGACATGACTTTGAAATTCACCATTATTCTTGTTCAACACTTATGACTTCTCATTTCCTTTTGGTCTTATTAGTTATTGATGATTATTCAGGGGTTGAATCTCCGTTATGAGTTCTATTCATGATCCATAGCTCCAGAGATTACCTGTGTGTTTTAGGGAATCAATTCTTTTTATCCAGTCCTGGTACTTTCATTACAGGTTGTTAAAGTATTAGATGATTGATGAAGATGTCACATTGAGCGATTCTTGGGTGTGCCGGCCTGGGTTTTGTAATTTATGATTCAGATTCATGACTCTTTTATGGAGATTACTTTGCAATTATACCATTATATGGTTCAGAACTCATCATAAACACTTATCATTTCCTTTTAGTGTTATTAGTATTTGGGGACCAGCTCAGCAGCTACTTTTGATTTATAATTCAACTCCATCTGTTGTTAACTTTCAAGTTTGGTTGACTTTCAAGTTCTGATTATATTTATGATAGTACAGGGTACCTTCATTATATGTTTTCACCAATCAAGGCTCATCATCATTCGCTCTTATGGATAATTATAATCCCATATGGTTATAGCTATATCTCTGGTCATTGCTATCGACTATGATGTTGCTGGAAGCCAATGATTAACAAGATTGATATCTTTGAAACTTTTAGAATCTTAACATCTGGAGCTGCAACATTTATGATGCACACTTAGCTGTGATTGTCTTGATACATTAGTGGCATTTTTATGAAGAAATATGTCCAAAAATAAATCAATCGGTGGAGGTTAGATTGACTTATTTAACATGTCAGATCAAAATTTTGAGAATTTATGCACTTTGTGAGAACTTTGAAATTTAAGATCATTTAGCTACAGTATAATATCAACTTAATGAACCAATGCAAAGGTCACCATTAAAAATTGAACTTTCATATTGCTCATTTTGTCATTGATACTCAAAAGGACCACAATAATGCTTTGAACCTCTGATATAATAACATGGGTAAAATATTCATTCAAGTTTGAACAACCAGTGACAGTTGGACTGGACTAACTAAAGTCTCAAAAGAGAGTCAACAGAACAAAAAAGAATTAAGATTTGATACCAGACCCAAATAGCACCCAATCCTATGAAACTTAAAGTTGTGATAAAGCTATAACATTTACCTCCCAGATCAAATAAGGGAAAAAAATATCTTTATTTTTATGAAATTCAAAAGTGTGAATTTATATTTTATGACAATTTGGGGTGAGAGGTTAAACTATTGAGTGATAATTAAGGTATTAAGACGTCATTCGCCATTCACCTATTTTGTTGGATGCAAAAATTTATCCAACATATTTGAAACCATCTAAATTTATAAGGAACATGGACACAAAATACAGTCTAGAAAATAAAATATTTTCATTTTGGATTGAATGAATAGTGATAGGTTTTCCAAATCACGTCTATAAGACAGAAATTTTAGATTACCCCAAAATGATGGATACCTTATAGAATTTATGGAAGCGGGATTTCTGTTTGAGAGATATTCACCGATCTCACCTTTTACATATTTAAAAATGAAGTCTAAATTTAGAATTCTCATAATTGAATCCTATACCCATAATCCAGATTCGAAGCCATACCCAAAGTTCTTGGAGTTCAAACTTTGAGGCAAAATAACCGTGATTGAAGTACGTGTCTTCCAGGAAATTTTGGTTTACCAATTGAACAATTTCTATTCGTGAAGACACGAACCATATTCAATATTTGGTATTTGGTGTTGTTGTGGTTACTATTGGTGAACTATTTGAAAACTTGAGCTGTAATTTTATATATGTTTGTATAGCGTTCGTAGTACGTTTATAGTTTTTATCTTTTAAAGACTGAGTATTAATACTATGTACGAATGAATATCATGAGAACATTCATCCATCATCAATCAACAGATCATTTGTATATGTATCCCACAATTCCTTTCCAAATTCCGTCTATCATTGTTTAAATTGTTTATTGTTTGATGGTTACGCGATCTCATATATAAGGAATTATCTTTGACGTGTGCAGCCATGCTTGATCTCAATAGTACGTACTTCCACAAAGCCAAACTGATTTTAGGAAGCTGTCGATTTAGGAAATGATCAATATTATAGGAAATCACCAATTTCCGGAAATGATCAATATTATAGGAAATCACCAATATTTTAGGAATTCATCAATTTCCGGAAGCTAAATATTCACTTTTGTACCATAGTTAAGCCCGTAGGAAATCATTAGTGGAATATCACCACCAACCCAGCTATTTAGAGAGCTACAAGAGGCGGCATTTCTACAAAACCATACCCCAGGAACAGATACATCTAGTTCTGAGCTTGATTGGACCACAGGAACACCATCTTAAGCATCTTTTTATCTCTCCCATAGTTAAGACCGTAGTATTTTTTCTACCATAGTTAAGGAACTCCCGCGAATTCATTTATTACATACGTACAAACTACACTACACACCATCTTCATCATAACTACGCCAGTTTATAGAATCAACTCTCGAGAGAAGAATTTTGTATTGTAATGTTGGGTCTGGAAATCGAATGGTACCATTCACTAACCCTATACACTTACGTGCACAATACTACGCTAAATTTTGCGCGAAATCCTTAATAACTTCATCAGTAAACTCGCTACAACATCCTTGAGAGTCAGTACACCTGCTCAAGTTTGTTCTCCTTCAAATGAGCCTATATGTTCGTCAACCGCTTTTTTCGTTGTTGAGCTACTCCAAAAGTGCCAAAACACAAGTTTCAAAATGCTTTTCAAAAGCTGATCTCGAGTTTTTCCCTAAAATCTGATTACGTCATCCCATACTTAATGTTCGCGATCACGATTCACAATATAGCTGTTAATACACAAAGCCAGAATAGGTAGGGTTGGTACTCCACCTAGGTAGAGTAGGAACTCCACCGTCACACTCATCGGGAATCGCGAATTGATAGTACATAGTACACAAACACAAAGCCAGAGTTGGAACCGTTCCAACTCCAGTAAAAAAAGAGTAGGAAAGGTACCAACTCCAGTAAAAAGGAGTAGGAACTGTACCAACTCCAGTAGAGAAGAGTAGGAACTGTACCAACTCCAGTAGAGAAGAGTAGGAACGATACCAACTCCATCCCATACTTAATGAATTCGCGGTCACACTTATAATTACACAAAGCCATAAATCAGAGAGCTCTTAATGTTTACGACTAAAAGCTTGCGATTAAAAGCCAGTTGGAAGTAATAGCTCGCGATTAAAAGCCAGTTGGGAGTAATAGCTTGCGAGTAAAAGCTTGCGAGTAAAAGCTCATACTTAACCAAACAGAACAGAAGTCGCGAACACTTCAGAGCTGTACAAAGAGCTGTACGATTATACCTTGATACAATTCGGGCTTCCCAGAATATACCTGATACAATTGGGGCTTCTCAAAATATACCTGATACAATTCGGGCTTCCCAGAATATACCTGATACAATAGGGGCTTCTCAAAATATACCATACTTAAGGAAAGTCGCGAACACTTCTGAGTACAAAGACGTATTATACCTCGGAATTGGTAAGTCACGTGCTTAGATTTTTTGTCAAATTAGCTATTTTTATCGGTATTGCATTGCATTCTCTTGTAGGTAACACTAAATTTATCATTTGGACGTTCATGAACGTTTAGATATCATTTATGGGGCTTTTGGACCCTTTATCTGACATTCTGATGCTCTGTAACTTTCAGTGTATTTATTATAATCAATTCCGACCTTGAAAGATATGATGTCCCCTTCGCGTGAAACATTAAAAGATAAACAAAGGGAACTAGTTCAATAAGCTTCAAGAGCTAAAAGATTTATCAGTTGAAGTAGCTTGATTCTGCTGAGTTTGAAGATGTCTACCCTGTTGGAGTTGTCCTATAAGAAGAATGCAAGTCACCTGTCTGCAAAAGTTGCTTCTTAAAGACAATTTTCAAAGAGAACAACCAAGAACATCATTAATAATGGAAATAAACTTCAAGTAATAACAATCAATTTCAGTACGCTAACCAATAGTCGATTGATAAAGAACATAATCCCTTTATGTGAGGAAGATGAAAATATTATTGCTGCACATCACACTGATCAGAAATTATAAATTTGGATTGAATGATTATCATAATAATGGAGATTTGACTTCATCTTTATTTGCATCTAAGTGAAGGATTAGATGATTGAAAATTCATATGTGTAATTGACCAATATCGGGGGAACTGCATGTTTTGAAATATGATGAAATAAGGCACGTTGTTAATTTAGAAGATGTTGCATTCAAGACAAATTCAATAGATAAAAGGTATTTTGATAGATTGAAATGTTACTCAAAGAGCAGATCTTATACTTTTCAAATAAAGCATTAAATTATGATTGTTTTACGTTGTATATAGCTGATGGATGATATATGAAAACATGGTTTATTTCTTTTCTTTTTGATTTATATATTACAGTTTTGATTAATATGAACTACTATATTATGACTTGTGCTAGTCAAAATTAGTTCTCAAATTATATTGTTGTACAACCATAGTCTTGAAGCTAGGACCTTGAATATCAATTGTTCATAATCTAATTTAGTTTAATCCATAGTGTTCATAATTGATCACATTAATATACTATATAATCTTAAGATGGATCGACACATCATCAATATATTTATTAAATTATATTGGAGATCGATAAATGTTCTAAATGTTCTGAATATTCATTAATAAGATCTTCACCTGTACAAATTTAATGGTCTGATAAAACTCATATATTATTAAATTGAGCTGTCTAAGTTTGAAATACCTACAAATATCATATCAACAATAACTAAAAATCTGTTTATATTAAAATATTTATAAAATTGAAAAAACCACAAATTGCAAATAAAATAAGCATCAAGCTAAAATCTCATCAACAAGTTTTAATTCCTTATTCATAATGAATTGGATAAAAAGCTCTATTTAATGGAGAAACAATTTTAGAACCTTTATAGAAATCAATAGTTTTAATAGCTCTTGAAGCAATTCCTTCTGGAGTAAATTCAAAGAATTTATAAACATCTGGAGCTTTACCACTAGCACCAAATCTATCAATACCAAATTGTTCATGAGCATATTTAGCCCAACCTGAAGTTGATAAAACTTCAACAGATAAGATTGGAATACCATCTGGTAAGACAGATAATTGATATTCTTTTGGTTGTCTATCAAAAGTATGGAAATCTGGTAATGAAACAACACGAGCGTTAATACCTGATTCTTTTAATTTTTTAGAGGCATCAATTGCAATTGAAACTTCTGAACCTGTTGAAACAATAACAACATGAGCATCAGCAACTTCATGAACAACATAACCACCTTTTGAAGCTTTTTCAATTGATGAACCTTCTAATTGTGGTAAGTTTTGTCTTGATAAAGCAATGATTGATGGAGTATGGTTTTGTTCTAAAGCAATTTGATAAGCAGCAGAAACTTCATTACCATCAGCTGGTCTCCAAACTTTCAAGTTTGGTGTAGCTCTGAAATGAGCTAAAGTTTCAATAGGTTGATGAGTTGGACCATCTTCACCTAAACCAATAGAATCATGAGTAGCAACCCAAATAACTGGATGACCAGATAATGCAGATAATCTAACTGCACCAGCGGCATAAGAAACGAAATTTAAGAAAGTACCACCGTATGGTTTGTAGTTAGCACCAAAAGCAGCAATACCATTCATAATAGCACCCATACCATGTTCACGAACACCATATCTAATGTAACGACCGGCATAAGTACCAATGTTTGAACCATCTGGTTGGAAATCAACAGCTTCTTTAGTTCTTGTCAAGTTAGAACCAGTTAAATCAGCAGAACCACCAATTAATTCAGGTAATTCATCGAAAACTGAATCTAATAACATTTCAGATAATTTTCTTGTAGCTAAAGCTTTATCACCAGAGTTATAAGTTGGTAATTTTTCAGCCCAATTTTCTGGTAATTTTTGTGATAATCTTCTTGATAATTCTGCACCTAATTCTGGATATTTAGATTTATAAGCTTCAACAGTCTTGTTCCATTCTTCTTCAATTTTTTGATTTCTTTCAACAACTTCCTTGTTATAATAATCATAAACTTCTTGTGGAACAACAAATGATTCATCTGGGTTGAAACCTAATTTTTCCTTCAATTGTTTAACATCATCAGCTTTTAATGGAGAACCATGAACTGAATGAGTACCAGCTTGTAAAGAACCGTAACCAATAACAGTGGTGACTCTGATTAAAGTTGGTTTATCAGATTTTTTAGCATCTTCTAAAGCTTTAGCAATACCTTCTAAATCATTGTTACCATCTTTAACCCAGATAACATTCCAACCATAAGCTTCATATCTTTTGTTAACATCTTCAGTGAATGAAACATTGGTATCACCATCAATGGTGATATGGTTATCATCATAAAAGGCAATTAAATTGTTTAATTTCAAATGACCAGCTAATGAAGAAGCTTCTGATGAAACACCTTCTTGTAAACAACCATCACCCAAGATAGTATAAACTCTTGAATCAGAAATGGTGAAATCTGGTTTGTTATATCTAGCAGCGAAATTTTTTTCAGCAATAGCTAAACCAACAGCATTTGAAATACCTTGACCTAATGGACCAGTTGTAACTTCAATACCTGGAGTTTCAGATTCTGGATGACCTGGAGTTTTTGAACCTAATTGTCTGAAATTTTTCAAATCATCAATTGATAAATCATAACCAAATAAATGTAATAAAGAGTATAATAAAGCAACTGAATGACCATTTGACAAAACAAATCTATCTTTATTAATCCATTCTGGATTTTTTGGGTTAAATTTTAAATTTTTCCAAATGATATGAGCTAAAGGAGCTAAACCTAAAGGAGCACCTGGATGACCAGAGTTAGCCTTTGAGACTTGATCAACAGATAATAATTTGATGGTGTTGATAGCTAATTGTTCAATTTGAGAAGACATTGTGATGATATTCTATTAATTGAGTTATAATTGACTGTGTAAAAGGTTATTCATTAAGGAGGAAATTTGAATAAAGAGCAAATCAAGTTTTTAAATATTTGTTGAGAATTGCGAATGAGATCCGGGAGAAAGAAGACCGTAAGTGGTTGGCTAGACAGGCAGACTAGACAGGGGTCCGGAAGGGAGCTCTGTGTAGGTGCTAGGCAGGGTGGAGGGATTCTGCTGTGTAGCACATAGGCAGGGTGGTCTGTCTACTCTGTCTGGATAATGCTCTGTCTGTCCGGCAATGTCTGCCTAGAGTTTAGAGTGGTCTAGGCAGACACATTGTTGAAACGTTGAACGTTTTTTTTAATTTGCCACTCATCGGAGGACAGTTGATTCGTTTTAAAAGGAAGAGAAAGTGAAAGTGTTCTAGGGTATCAAGGGAAGAATGGACAATTATAAAATAGAATAGATCAGAGAACAATAGGATAATCATTGAATTGTAGAACTAAATAGATTATCAATTGAATCAATCAAATCAATTAAATATTTCTAAGCATTTCTCATTTGATGATTTGATGGCTTTCTTACTCTCGTATAAAATGATCGCGATATAATAATAACATAATACTCAGATACCCATTGGTTAATATTACAACTCTACAATAGACTATTAGTTGATTAATCATTTCTTCACTGATATACAATATGTCCTCTCATTTCAACATCACTCCACAAAAGATAACAACTTTACCACAAAACCCATCTGAATTCATTCAAGAAGCTGATCAATTAGTTGATTCAATTAGCTCTAAATGGTCCAAGACTAAAACTTACAATTATACTCTTGATGATTCATCTAATGAGAATGTTACAACATATCATACAAAATTTAAATCAGAACATTGGGTTGCTCGTATAAGTCAACATTCATCAACCAAGTATCCATTCCAAAGAGTATTACATTATCTTTTAGGTATTGATTCAGAAAATCAAATTACTGATATTTCATTACATACAAAATATGAAGAAGAATATATTAAAGTATTGAATAAATGGGAAATTGTACCATTAGAATCATACCCTGAATATGAATCATTATTAAACAAAGATCATTTAAAGAATTGGTATTCAGTTAAAGCTGAATATGAATTAGGTGCACCTTTGAAAACTAGACAATTTGATGAATTAATCTTTATTCAACCACCAACTACAACAACAACCAATACACCAGGTGTTAAAGGATATGTTATTTCATTAGTTGCAGATGATTCATCATGTGAACCAAATGTTCGTGGTGTTTATTCTTCTATAGAAAGAATTGAATTAAAAGAAGATGGTAAATGGGAATGGATAATGTGTACTACAAGTGATGCTGGAGGTTCTGTACCAAAATGGTTACAAAATTCAATGATTAGTAAAAGTGTTGCAATTGATGTTCCTGGATTTTTAAATTGGTTTAATGAGAAGGAGAAAAATGATAATTAGTGTATATTTGCATAGCTTTTGTATATTTGTGTTATTCATGTATATTGAAGGTACAATTTGTATTACATAAACATGGGGATAATGGGATAGTCATTATATTATAAAATAAAGCATTAAAATCACTCAATTTGAACAATTGATCTGTTAACAAGTAATATTTGATAAGCATAGTTTCTTATCTACTAATCAATTGAATTGTTGAGTGTTATTTCATTAAATCAGTACAATTCATTCACAATATATTGGAGTTCATGATGATCATCATCTTTATCAACTCCGAGTTTAGTCAAACTTAATCAACAATTTTGAAACAACAAAACAACATCGTAGTTTAAAACTTTAAATGCATTATATTTCCATTTATCCTTGTGGTAATTAAAATCATTTATGTGGAGTTTGAAACTTTATCAAGATAATAAAAAGTCTAATTAAGAGTGTTCAAATATCAATATTCAATCCAAATGACCCAAGTCAATTAGGGGAAGTATATGGGCAGTCTATAGTCATTTGATTAAAGAGGAGTATACACATTCAAAATATCTCATAGGAGTCCTATAGATTCAAATGATCATGATTATTGTGTCAAATGTTATATAAATACCATATAATATCACTGGTATTCGGAGTTGATAATATAGCTATTGATACATTATCACAACAAACAATATCACAATGCTTAGAAACTTGACTAGAACAAAACAATCTGTCTTAAGACTATCAACTCGTTCATTAGCAACAACTTCAATCCCAACAACTCAAAAAGCCATTATATTTGATAAAAATAATGGTCCTTTAGAATATAAGGATATCCCAGTTCCAAAACCAAAACCAAATGAAATTTTAATAAATGTTAAATATTCAGGTGTTTGTCATACTGATTTACACGCATGGAAGGGGGATTGGCCATTACCAACAAAATTACCATTAGTTGGAGGTCATGAAGGTGCTGGTGTAGTTGTCGCCCTGGGTGATGAAGTTAAAAATTTTAAAATTGGTGATTTAGCTGGTATAAAATGGTTAAATGGTTCATGTCAATCATGTGAATATTGTGTAAATGGATTTGAATCAAATTGTGCCCAAGCTGATTTATCAGGTTATACTCATGATGGTTCTTTCCAACAATATGCAACTGCTGATGCTGTTCAAGCTGCTAAAATCCCACAAGGTACCGATTTAGCTGGTGTTTCACCAATCTTATGTGCTGGTATCACGGTTTATAAAGCTTTAAAAACTGCTCATTTGAAAGCTGGTGATATTGTTGCCATTTCAGGTGCTGGTGGTGGTCTTGGTTCTTTAGCGGTTCAATATGCAAAAGCTATGGGTTATAGAGTCCTTGCAATTGATGGTGGTAAAGAAAAAGGTGAACTAGTTAAATCTTTAGGTGCTGAATTTTATGTTGATTATCAATCATCACCAGATTTAATTGAAGAAATTCAATCAAAAACTAAAGGTGGTCCTCATGGTGTTATTAATGTTTCTGTTTCAGATAAAGCTATATCTCAATCAACAAAATTTGTAAGATCAACAGGTTCAGTTGTCCTTGTTGGATTACCACCAAATGCTGTTGTTCATTCAGATGTTTTCAATCATGTTATTAAGTCAATTTCTATTAAAGGATCTTATGTTGGTAATAGAGCTGATACAAGAGAAGCTATTGAATTTTTCACTAGAGGTTTAGTTAAAAGTCCTATTAAAGTTGTTGGATTAAGTGAATTACCTGGGGTTTATGAATTGATGGAACAAGGTAAGATTTTAGGTCGTTATGTTGTTGATACTAGTAAATAAATAATCGCTGAGCTTGCGAAGTGATTATTTGATATGAATTGACTGTTAACCTAGTTTAACAAAATCCACACTTCATTGGGCTGGTCCCCAATTTATTTATTTATTTATTTATTTAGCTTTTATATCATATCATATTCTATTATTTAAATCTGTACTACATCAATAATCCTAAATAAATAACACATTCATTAAAAAATCATATCATATTCACATAAAAATAACACCAAAATTCCCAATCATAATACATATTCTATTCATTAATAATAAAGAGTGATCTAAAAAAGTGATATAATACTATATATCAAATTTTAACCAATCTAAATCAACACCCATCTTCATATCAACATCTCCATCATCATCATGATTTGATTCATCTTCTTGTTGTGGGGGACTAATTGAAGGTTGATTATTCAATATTAAATCATTTGGGTCCAGGTATTGAGGATTTATAAAACCTGATTGAATTTCTTGTGGTGTGGGGACAACATTAATAATTTTATCCTTTTGTTGTTGTTGTTGTTGTTGAGATTTCATAGCAATTGATAAATTTGAATTTTTTAAAGAATTTTGTTGAAATTGTTGTGGAATTCTTTTGGAATTAAAACTATGAGTTAAATTTGTTGATGAAGAATTGAAAGGAATTGAATTTGAAGTTATTGGCATTGAATTTGAATTATTTGGTAATGAAGATGAAGGTGGTGAAAAAAATGATACATATTCTGATGAAAATGATGGTGATGCAGGTGATGGACCTGGTGATGGTGAATTATAATTATTATTTGATGATGTGAAATAATCAAATGGTGATGAGGATATACTCTTGGATACTATACTTTTTCTTTTACGTTGTTGTAATGGTATTGAATTTGGTATTGAACTTGGTGATGAACTTGGTTGTAATTGTCCTTGTGATTGTGATTGTTGTTGTGATTGTTGTTGTGCTTGTAATTGTTGTTGAGGTTTTGGTAAAATTGGAACATTTTTAAAACCTTGAATTTTAGAATTATTTGGTAATGATTGACTTTGAAATTGTATAGATTTATCTAAATTATTTAAAATTTTTTTGGAATTTGAAGATTGTTCACCATTATTAACACTTGATCTTCTTGAATTTCTCTTTTTTATAACATCAGTTTTCAAGGATAATGGTCTCATTGTACCATGTAATTTTTGAAATAATCCACATGCATTACATAAAGTATTCCCATTTGAATCTCTTCTCCAAAGTGGAGTTTTTTGTGTATGACAATTAAAACATTCAGTTGAAATATTTGAATTTGATGTTGAATTATTACCAACACTTGATGATATTGGTTTTTTCTTTGATAATACTGATGGTATAGAATTTGATATAGATGAAGGATTTGAATTTGAAATTGAAGAAAATGATTCCGTTCTTTTAGTTATTGGCATTGGCATTGGTATTGATTTATCTTCATCTTTAAAAGATGGAATTTCATCAATATTAAAATCCCAAGCCATATTAATTTCACCATTAAAATCATTATTATTATTGTTATTAGTTGTATTATTATTATTATTATTCATTGGTTTAATCTTTTTGTCATTCTTTTGAGGTAATAAAGTTGTTGAAGTCATTGTAGTTCCAATACTTGATACACTATCAATACTATTTTTATTTGAATCAATACTTAAAGGACTTGAACTATCAATAGAACTTAAATCACTTATATTAAAATTTCCCATAGATTCAAATGATGAAGAAGGATTTTGTAAATTTTTACAACCTTCTCTTAATGAACGATTTTCAATTCTTGGTTGAAGAACCAATAATCTCTTTGCAGCTGAATAAATGTCCCAAATAGAAGGAGTCTCATTATCCGAACCTTCCATGATTGGAATGTAAACCTTTATAGTCTCTTATTAAACTTATTTTCTTTCTTTGTTGAAATTATATTTGGGTACCTGAATATTAATGGGGCTGACCTGACAATTGACACTTTATGACTAACGGAGTCAAATAAAAACCACTTTTTAATGAACACGAAAAACGTAGTGACAAGAAGTAAGAGTTAAACCAGCAGTAGCACAAGCAGCAGTTATAATCAAATTAATTAACCCAAGTCAATAATAAGACCAATCAATATAGTTGTCAAAAGTATGATAATGTTCAACTCCAACAATGTTTGTTTTCTCATTTTCTTTTAATTTTTCGCTGAGAAAACAAAATTTAAAAAAAAAAAAAAAAAAAAATTTGGCAGCCAAAAAAAAAAATTAAAAATTCGCGAAAAAACAATGGAAATTATATCCTTGACTTCCTAATACGGTAATGAAAGTGGTTAACATAAGTAATAATATAAGTATTTAAAATATAAAAAGTAATATAAAAATTCATAATATAAAAATAATTCCCATCCTAAATTCCCATTCATGACATTCATTCATAATTGAAATAGAAAAAGAACAAAAAAAAAACACTTAATCTAATGGTATAATATCTAAAATCTCTAATCTTCTCTCTTCTTCACAACTTCTTATTTGGTTTTAATAGTTCAAAACTACATAATAATCCATTATCAACACTCATCACAGCACCCCAATTATTAAATTCTCCACAATAATTTGGTGCACTAAATATTGTAACTAATTTTTTTTTAGCAAAAAATTCATAACCATCTTCAACAACCATATGACCTCTAATAATTAAATCAAATTTAAATTTTTTACAAAAATTTTCCACAACTTTTTTACCAAAACAATATGAAACTCCACGATCATTATCATTCCATTCTGTTACATTTGGATCTGGATCTGACCATAATAAATCTGCAAATAATCCAGTTTCAGGAATATCTGTTGGTCTTTTTAAATTTTCAATTTGTTTTAAATTATTTAAATTTGGTGATAATCCACCATGAATACAAAAAATTTTATCATTAATTATTGCAGAAATTGGTAAAGTATTGAAAACATCAATAAAATTTTTCCAAGTTTTTAAATTTAATCTTCTTTTACATTCATCATAAAACCCATAAATTTTGGTAATATTTGCAGATTCATGATTTCCTCGTAACATAAAGAAATTTTCTGGATATTTTATCTTGAAACAAAATAATAATAATATAGTTTCTAATGATTGTTTACCTCTATCAACATAATCCCCCAAGAATAAATAATTTGAATTTGGTGGTAATCCACTAAGTTTTAAAATTCTTAATAAATCATTAAATTGTCCATGAATATCACCAACAATTTTAACTGGTGCACTTAATCTTAATAAACTTGGTTGATTTAAAAAAATTTCACGAACTTTGGAACAAATTATTGAAATTTCATGAGGTTTAATGAAAAATTCATCATTTTTGGATTTAAACCCCAGGGTAGGACTTGAATTATTTGAATTTGATGAATTTATTGATTGAGTTAATAACTTTTCAATTATTGAATCAATATCAACATCATTTGGTCCAATTTTAGGTTTTCTTGTATGAATAGATTTTTTTGGTTCTTCAACAATTGGAGGTAAATTACCATTCACTTGATTATTTGAAAAAGGTGGAGTTGTTGATAATGAGCTAGAATTTGACTTGGAGGAATCTATAGTGAATAAATCACTAAATGAACTTGAAATTTCATCATTTGTACCCGTGGTGGAACCTGTTGTATTGGTTGTATAACTTGACCCAGTTCTTGATAAATTTTTTGGAACTGAAACTTGACCATTAATATATAATTCTTCATCAATTGTAGAATTAATTTCATCTGAAGTTGTAGTTGAATTTGAAGATCTTCTAATCTTATTGGTGTTGGAAATTGAACTTGATTTTAAAGCTTTAGCCATGGAAACATCAATATCCATATCAAATGTATTTAAAGATTCATGACTATTACTATTAACACCTTGATGATTTTGATTATAAATAACATTTTGACCATCAAAATAAGTAAATTTTTTTGGACTTTTACTAAATTTTTTTTTTTGTAATTTTTCTTTATTATAGTGTAATCCATCATCACTATAATTTGAATTGTTATTGTTGTATTGTTTATTTATACGCGTATCTTTCTGACACTGCTTACTGTTTGATTGATTATAGGAAGAAGACTTCCTATCATCTGGTTCTGGTTCACCAGACGTAACAGCTAACGCTGAACTTGATGAAGAACCACCATTTAGGCTGCTGTTGGAGGTGTGGGTATTCGGGCTTGCATTCTTGGACGGGCTGTTTCCCATAACTTTGTGATCTGTGGAAAGTTGGAGGTAAAAAAAAGGGGAGATAAAAGGGAGTTATTAATAAGATGAAATAAAAGATCTAAACACTCTTTTGTTTGAGCTTTTTCAAGTTCTTTGTAATATTAAAATCGTTTTCGTTGATGGCAAAATTCTGATACTGGTTTTTTTTTTGACAAATGCCAACAAATATCAGAAAAAATTTAAATTAGGGGAAAATTGGACATTCGCGAAATTAAATTAGAATTTAAAAAGCGCGAATTTAGATTACGTAATTATCATGTGACTTTTGATTACATAATATTTTGCACAAAAGCGGTTTTTTATAAGCAGTTGGAAATTTGAGAAACCATTGATATTTTGGATTTTATTGAGAAGATATTGGTATATATTAATTCATAGTGTACTAGTTGTTTTACCAGGTCATACACCATCAGAATCATACCACAATGTCCCTTGCAGAGTTTGATGAAATAGATTTCACCCATTCAGCACCAAGATTAGATAGACCTTCAGATTATCTTATGAAGAAGGCAAGAAGAAGACATAATGGATTACAAGATATTAGAGATTCTTATAAATCAGCTACAATTTATGTTGGTAATTTATCATTTTATACAACTGAAGAACAAATCTATGAATTATTTTCAAAAGTTGGTCCAATAAAACAAATTATTATGGGTCTTGATAGATTTAATTATACTCCATGTGGGTTTTGTTTTGTTGTTTATAAAAAACCTTCTGATGCTATAAATGCTGTTAAATATCTTGGTGAAACTAAATTAGAAGATAGATTAGTTACAATTGATTTAGATCCGGGTTTCCAAGATGGTAGACAATTTGGTAGAGGTGCAAGTGGTGGTCAAGTTAAAGATGAAATGAAATTTGAATATGGTGCAGGTAATATTGCAGGTCCAGGTGGTATACAAGCTAATTTCCAACCTACTCCAATTCCAATTAATTCAAATGGTGAAATTCCTGTTGGATTACAACCAATTGGTGCGTTCCCTCAACAAGATTCAAATTCAAATATTAGATTTGGTAATAGAAGAATTGCTGGTGGTGGTGATTATTATAAACCTGGTTTAGAAAATTCTCAATCAATTGGTGATAGTTATGTTCCAGGTGAATCAAATGAAAATGAAAATGAACAATCAAATGAAAATGAAAATAATCAACCAAATGATGTTGAAGTTGAAAATTGATTTATTTTAAGTACAATTTGTATATTAGCGCGCTCTGCTCTTAATGAATTATTTAATGATTTTGAACTATAGATATAATCTCTGATTGTAGCGCTACATTGAATTAACAAAAGCTAACATTTATATAATGAATTTTTTAATATATAACTAATTATACATAAAATTTATATGCAAATTAAAATAAAATAGTTGATATAACAATGTATATCAAACAATGAATTGAATATAATAACAAGATAACAAAATAACAAGATAAAACAAAATTATATATAACAATAATGTAATATAATATTTGATAATATTTTAACTAATAATGACAAAATATGAATGAATTGATATATAATTGATTTTTTTGATGTTTTTTATTTGGTTTTTTGGCCTTTTATGAATTTAATAAAACAAACTAAATGCAAATATTGTTGAAGTTTTATCTTCATTATTCATAATATGATATGATATAAGATGATATGAAATGATTTATAAACCTTTTGTGTGTTTTTTTCCTAAAGTATTCCCAAAATACTTTTTTATAATTCCTTTTTAAATTTCCTAATTATTATACATAATGATATTTATATGATAGTTGTTTATAATCTATCAATCAATCTCTTCTTCTTAATAGGTTGACCATTATTCCCACTTAAATTACTAAATAATCTTCTTCTTCTTTTATTAATAAACCAATTACTTAATTGAACATTACTTAATCCAGTTTTATCTAATAAATATCTTTTTTGAGTATGATTTGGATAAGGATTATCCATATTATTTAAAATCCATTCATTTAATATTTCAATAGTTTCTCTTGGTAAATTTGTTCTTTTCTTGTTTTGTCCATTTGAATTTATTGATCCTGGTGATTCTATACCTGAATCAACTGATGCTTCACGTGAAAGAGAATCTAAATCTTCAGATTCACTAATTGTTGATGTTGATATGGTTAAGTTTGGTGTTGCTGGACGTGATTCTTCATCTTTAATCTGTGGTTGGGGTTGGTTCTGTTGTGCTTGTGCTTGTGATTGTTGTTGTTGTTGTTGTTGTAAAGTTTTTGTAAAAGATGAAGTTTTTCTATTTGGTAAATTTGGTCGTTGATAATGTTGGAAATTTGATGAAATTTGAGGAATTGAAGGTTGAGATTGAGTTTTTAAATTTATTGGTCTTTGTTGTTGTTGTTGTTGTTGTTGTTGTTGTTGATCATTAATATTTTCTTCATTTTTAATTAATTCAGATTGGAAATTTTCTATTGAATTTGTTGATTCTGAACGATGTTGATTATTTTGGAAAGTATATTTATCAGTTGAATCACTTATTGAATTTCTTTGATTAAATTCCAGTAATAATTGTGAATCATTTAATTGTTGTTGATTTTGATAACTTTCAATATTCTTTAATATAGATCCAATTGGAGGTAAAGAAACACCACTCATTATTGAATTTGAACTTATAGAAGAATGGGTACTGGCGGCAGGACTATCCATTTGATTGTTGAAAGAAGCACTGGTAGAGGTAGTCATAGCCTCTGGTTGTTCGTGTTTGATCTGTTCTATAGCTGGTGAATTTGAAGTACTTGTTGAATCTGAACTTGACATCTTTCCCATAGATAACGCATAAACAAATCCCAAATCTTGCGTTGTACTCTGTGTAAATAGTAGATGGTAGTATTTGTAGTGGTAATGAACGTTCTGAGCACCAACAGCACTGAATAAATATAGAATAAATAGGAGGTTGTCGTCCTTGTCGTCGAGTTGTCGTCGTTGTTTTTGGTGTGGGAATTATTGGTTGCAAAAGTTCAAAAACTTGAATTGTGTCACGAAAAAAGATTATGTTTTTTTTTTTTTTTTTTCATTCGGGAGAGAAAAAGAAAGCGACTCTGGAGATATTGATTAATTACACATTTAGATTCAAAGATACACAAAGATACAATAGAGATCTGAGGAAATGGATTACACCATTGGAATCAGCGATATTGAATTACTATAGTTCCATATACACAACACGTACTCGTCACACAAGTTTCCTTAGTTCTGTTGTTTTGTGTCACGATTTCGGTGACTCGAGAAGTGAAAATTTTTTTATCCGGTTGATCTGATTGGGAGATTTTTCAATTGTCGGTGGGAAATGTGACAAAAGTGGCACAAAATAAAATGGATTTTGATGGGTTTTACATACAATTTTTTTACAATTGTGGGTAGCTTTGTTTGGTGATTGTAGTGTATTGTTTGTGGTTGTGTATAGTCCTAGGTTATTGGATTTCATGGGTCTCACCCTAATCAATTCCAGATCTTGTGCTCAATTGTCATGACCCATAAAGATTCCAACGGTTCTTGAATCTTGATTCTTTATTCATTTATGTGACAAGTCGGCCCACATGCAATTAGAAGGTAAGGCTTATGTAAGACCTATTGTGGCATCGTGACTGCTACTTACACCGAGTCATATACATATACAGGTATTATTAAATCACATCATATTAATAAATCTATAAAGGATATATAAACTTTTTATTCTCCCAATCTGTTAAATCTAACATTGAAACATCAACTTCAGTCTTGATTTTATTACCTTCTTCATCAATACTTGTAATAAATCCATGTGGATCTTCAATTTTACCATCTTTAATATCTTGTAACAATTGAAGTCTTTGTTTATTACGTCTTGCTAAGATAAATCTAATAACTTGTAAAATCAATGGTGCTAAGAACCATGAACATATAATCATGATGATCCAAGCAGGTCTATAACGTGGTTTATCCTTAGCTTTCCATATTTGTGGAGCAGCTAAATTTGAAGCACCATAGAAAACTGACCAAATAACTGTTCTTATTAATCTCTTAGAATAACCTGCCGCACTTGATTGTGACCATGAAAATGCCATAATAAATGTATTTGCATTAGAATTTGTTAAAAAAATACCTGCTAATATACCATAATTATAACGAAATGGTATAGCAACTGCAATTATTCCACCTAATAATGCTATTAAAGCGAAAAAAGTACCAACATGTGCACTTTGAGTTCTAAAATAAACTAAACAAAGTGAACCCCAAATGGATGCAATTGTAGTCCAGCCTGATGATGCAACTGAAACTAATGTAGAATTTAAATTTGAAAATCCTAAATTTTTATAAATAATTGCAGATTGGAAACTAATATTATTACAAAGCATTGATAAAAATACATAAATACCAAATAACCATGTAATAGGATCTTTTAAACCTTCTATAGCTTGAGCTTTTTTAAAAGTTTTCTGTTCAATTGATGAATGTGTAGCTGCTTTAATTCTCTTGATAACATGAATACGTTCTTGAACAGTAAAATATTTATAAGTTGCAGGATTATCTGGATAAAAGAAAAAACTTGAAATTGATAAAATTGCACTTAACCCACCAATAATTATCCAATAAACTTTCCATGGTGATATACTAGGAACAAATTGTGTACCATATGCAGTTAACCCACCTGGTATACCTTGAGCAATACAAGAAATCCAAAAAATTGGATTAACAATAGCTTGTTCCGCTGGTGTAAACCACATTGCAATAGTATGTTGAATTGCAGCTGTAACACCACTTTCAAATGCACCTAAAAAAAATCTAATAGCTGCAAGATGTCCAAAATCTTTAACTGATAATGTGGTAAATGTAGTTATAGTCCAAACAACAGTAACAGCACTTATATAATGAGATAATTTAAATTTTTGGAAAGCCCAATGACTTGGTAATTGAAATAAAATATAACCTGCATAGAAAATTGTTTGTAAATCATTATATTTTTGTTGATCTAAATCAGCATCTTCAAATAAACCTAATAATGAAGCATACCCCATTGCATTTTTATCCAAAAATAACATAAAATTAACGAAAAATACAATTGGTAAAATTATTGTCCATAATTTCCATTTAATACGACGTTCTAATTCAGGTGTTAATTCACCTGCTGATGCTTCATATTCTTCAAATAACTTTAATGTAACATCTGCATGTTTTTCAGTGATTATTTGATCATCTTCATCACTTGTAATACCATCAACTATATGTTTAACACCAACTTTTTGATCATTTTTATGATCAAGCTCAGCTGAACTCTTACTTTCACTTTTTTGAGTCATTATGATACACTTAGTATTGAACTCTTACAGTATACCAGTTTCAAAACCAAAGTACTTTCAATACGTACAATTCTTAAAGCTTTATAAAAAAATTTAATGAAGACTTGACTGTGGATCAACTTAACATCTTAACAATAAAGCATCATATAATTGTGGCATTTATCGTATATCTATGTTGGCTCTTCACTGTTATCGTTGTGTAATCCCATTCTGGTCCATTAACCTAGTAAATGTTGAGCGGTAGTTACCTGTTTTGCAAAATGGATTCAATAAAGAATCTTTGAACGTTAGTTGTGGTTGTTTTTAATGCCATACTTTTGAATATGGAAACTGTGGTGTATCTTTATGAATTTTGATTAGAGTAATAAGCGATAATTGATCAAACAGTGATATACAACATGTCACTCGTAGTGTTCTTCATCTCAGCGCCCTGTTTAAATCATTTGTTTTCAAAGTTCTTTTGATACTTTGTTGATGTTTTGTTGATTTTGTTGATGTTTTTGGTGACCTTCTTGAAGGAAATATGACTAGGAAAAAAACATCAATAATAATCATCGGATCTGGTGCCTTCGGACTCAGTTCTGCCCTTCATCTCATACAGAGCGGTTACGAGGACATCACTGTGTTTGACAGACTGGACCTTGCTAAGCTGGGATACTCGTTTGATAACGGTGCTGATACTGCTTCTGCTGATGTGAATAAAGTCTTTAGAGCGTACTATGGGGATAAAGATCATTATCATAGATTAGCATTGGAAGCTAAAAAAGTGTTCTTGGAATGGCACAAGGATTTACAAGGGAAAAGTGATAAAGAAGCACAACAATTGGGTATTAGAGTTAAAAAAATCATTGAGAATTCTGGTTGGTTGAGGATTGATAATAATGAAGAGTTATCAAAAGATGAATTGACAAGTTTGGATATATTTGCCAAAACTGGTCTAAGAGATACTCAATATGTTTTAAATGACACAAAAGATATTAAAAGAGCTAAAGATGATGGCTGGTATAATAAATTTGATCCATTGGGTTTGAAATCAAACCCAAATTTCTCAAAATTGAATGGTGTTTTGGACTCAACTTCTGGTATCTTATATGCTTCAAATGTTTGTTTATATGTTAATGCATTACTCAAGGCTAAAGGTGTTAAATTCATTGTTGGTGATCCAGAAGGTACTGTCACAGAACTAATTGAATCAAATGATGAAATCAAAGGTATTAAAACTCAAGATGGGAAACAACATCTTTTAGATTTGGTCATTCTTGCAGCTGGACCTTGGTCAACTTCTTTATTACCAGAGCTTGGTGGTCTTAGTGAAGCTCATTCTGGTAATGTTATATTGATAAAAATCCCAGAAAGTGAACCAGAATTGAGATCAAAATATTCTACAACTAATTTCCCCATTGTTGGGTGGAGACTTGGTGAAACAAAAGAAAAATCAAATTTTGGTGGATTAAGTGTTTTCCCTATAAGTGAACCTGAAGGTTATGTTAAAGTAATTTCACGTCAGAAGAAACTATTAAATCCTGTTAATTTACAAAATGGTTCTTTGGTTTCTATCCCATTAACTTCAAGATCTTCACCTCCTGAAAATAGATTATCCAAAAATATTATCAAACAAGTTAAAAATTTCATAAGAATCTTTGTCCCTGATCTTATCCAATTTGGTATCAGCAAAACAGAATTATTATGGTATACTGATACTATAAATAATGATTTCATTGTCGATTATGTACCTTCCAAAAAAAATTTATTAGTTGTTACTGGTGGTTCTGGTCATGGATTTAAATTCTTACCTGTTTTAGGAAAATTTGTTGTTGATGTTATTGAAGGTCGTGAAAATGAATATACAAAGATTTTCAAATGGAGAGATCCTAAAACATTCCATGATATAAATTCATTGGGTGATTTATATGAAGGTAAAAGTTCATTCTATGATCAAGATCTAGCTGATCCTAAAGAATGGGAGTTTACAAAAGAAGATTTGGAACAAGAGATTGAGATTGACTAAATAATATATACAATATTAATACATCTAGTTATAATTTTTAGGTAATGAAACTTCATAAAGATAATTACCCAGTGTAATAATATCCCAAATTGGTAATCCAGTCTTCTTATAAATAGCATTTTTAAATGGTGGAATATTAGTACATTCCAAAATAATACCTCCAATATCATGATTTCGAATCAACGTATCAACTGCTTCTAATACTTCAGTTTCTATTGCCTTAAAATCGTATTCTTTACCCTTTCTGAGAATTTGTTGAAATTCACCACCTCTTTTAACACCAACAATTGGAACATCATAATCAACACCAACGGCTATCAAATGTTCTTTGCCTAAATTATCAGCATCAAAAGTTATAATCCCCAATTTCTTTTTGGGATGAATTAATGCTTGTGCAATTGGTATTTGTAATAAAGCAGAAGTACCCACAGGAATTGGAATCTCAGATTGTAATCTTGGATGAATTGTAGCTAAAAATCCACAAGATGTTATAAGAGCAATGGCACCTTCATCCACAAATTCTTTAGCAGCTTTAATCCAATGTGATACAAACTCATCAGAATAATTCTTTGAAGTCTTAACAACAGCATCACCTGAAGCTTCTTCAACAATCTTGATTTTTATTGGGATGTTCCATGTTGATAAATTACCTACATCACCTGGAGGACGATGGAAAGTGGTGTTAACTTGCAAGATTCCTAAAAATGGTTCTTTAGGCATTTTAAAGATACTTCAGCCTTATATTTCAATAGTCTTCATGAGGTTTTGAATCAAATTAAATCTAAAGATCAGATTCTTTTGAGGGTACCCAAGATTCCACAGTTATATTTGGTACACATTGAGCCACATATCTGGTGTTTTGCGGAGCAGATCAACTACTTTTTACTTGTTGTAGAAACCTGGATATGTTAGGTCTCTCTATTAACAGTACATGAGACTATTTTCTATTTTAAAATCACTATCAGAAGTCTGTTCCTCTTTATTTATCGATTGCAATATTAAAAAGTTTCTGCTTTATTTAACCGAACAACAATTTCATATATCCGTTATGCTTTTAAGACGCGATGAGCTTTAAAAAAAATAAGTAAACAATAGAATTTGAATTTTAACAACGTTGGAGACAAGAATCACAATTGATCCACTTACAAAATGTCAAGTGAAGAAGTGAGAAGAACCGTTGCTGAGTCTTGGGCACGTCGATTCGATAAGAAGAGAGAAGCAGAGGATGAACCACCAAAAGAAGCTGTTGGAGTTGAAGTATCAAAATCAAACATAGAATCTGAAAGAGAATTACCAATACCCAAAAGACAAAAGAAAGCCATTGAACCTAAGGAAGAAGTTATTGAGATCCTATCAGACGAAGAAGAATTATCACCAACTGATAATAGCTCATCAGAAGAACCAATTGAAATCATATCGGATGTTGAAGAAGTTGTTGTACCTGATAAACCTATAAGGAATGAACAAATCAGGACATCTAAAACTATTCAATCACCTCAAAAGAAGAAGAAACAAATCTCACCTCCATTTTTACCAATTCATAATCCATTATATGACAATCCAAAACTACCAAACTCAGTTATTATTTCAGACGTTTTATCATCACCAAATCTTAGATCTTGTTATCTTTTCAGTTATCAACATGATTTAGAATTCATATTACCACAATTTCATTCAAATAACATTGATTTGACAATTGTTTATCAAACTGGTACAGTTTTAGATTCTCCTAAACGTGCATTATTCAGAAATGTTCAATTTATTGAAGTTGCCATGCCGCCATATTCTTCACATCACCCAAAATTGATTATAAATGTTTATAATGATGATACTGTACAACTTTTTTTGGTTTCTTGTAATATGACGTTTATGGAATGGAGTACAAATAATCAAATGATATGGCAAAGTCCTAGATTACATAAAGACTTAAATTCAAAAGATACAGTTTTCAAAACTCATCTATTCAACTATATTAAAAATTATCAAAAACCTCAATTAGATACATTGGTTGTATTGTTGAAGAAATATGATTTCAATAGTATAATTGGTGATTTTGTTTCATCTGCAACTTCAACTAGTGATAAGTTTGGATTTTGGGGTCTTTATAATTCATTATTATCTAAAGGTTTGATACCCAGAAAACATGAAAAGGAAAGACAGCTATTATATCAAACCTCTTCTATTGCTTCAGCTATAAGGCATACACCTACAATAAATCAATCAGCAAATATATTCACACATTTGTTATTACCTTTATTTTCAGGGAAATATACAAATCATGGAAGACTTTCAATTTCAAGAGATTTCCCATTATCAAATGGATTTATATCCGTTGAACAATTTTCAAAAGAATATAAGGTCAAACCATACATCATTTATCCTTCATTATCGGATGTTAGAAACTCATTATTTGGTTATGGATCAGGAGGCTGGTCACATTTCAATCCTCATTCAAAATGGAATAAACCAATGAATGATTTTTTAACACCAAAAGTTTTCCATCATAGTTATTCTCAACAAAGGAAAACAAATCCAAGTCATACAAAATTTTTAATAATGTCATCTGATAATTTTAAAACTTTAGATTGGGTTTTCTTTACAAGTACAAACATGTCAAAACAAGCATGGGGAACACCACCTACAAAGAAAGATCTTTTATCCTTGCCGCCGAAATCAAATGTATCAAATTATGAAACTGGTATCTTATTATGTCCATCAGATTATGGCTCTGGTATAAAATTTATCCCATTAGAATTTGGTCAAGAGAAGAATCTTGAAGAAAATGAAGTTCCTATATATTTACCATTTAGATTACCACCTGAAAAATATTCAAATCAAGATGAACCATGGTGTGTTAGTAAATCTCATGATTTACCTGATATACTTGGGAACTTACATGTTGTTAATAATTAATCGTGGTTTTAGTGTGAAATTACAAATTCAATCTCCAGGTACTATATATAAGTCTAAATTAAAATAAGTTGGACCTGTGTATAACTAGTATCAATAAAACCAATCATTAATGACCACCTATAAGTTTTTCACTCCAGTATTGGGCAGTTCATGCGTTTTCAAAATTATATATTCGCTATTATCAATTGAGGTATATAAACGAGTTCTTAATTATTGAACCTTTACCTTTGACAGACAAAATAATACCGCATATAACTTGAAGTTTGAGCTTTAAACAGAGAATAAATATGAGAAAGACTAATTACTATTCTCTGTTCATGAAATTTTAAATATATATGACTCGAAATATCTTTTGTCTTTCATATATTGTCTCTTCTTTTACTCTTCGCACACAACACATTCAAGCCTTTCCAATAAATTCACAACTTAACAGATCTAAACATGAC